CATAATGTTGTCAAAGAACAAATCTGCACACTCTCCTGTTGCACTTGATCACCTTAGGTGCAAATAGCTGTCAATTAATCAACCATGGAATAAAATTTTCGGGTCAACAATAAATTCAACGTTGGTAGTGTTGGCATAATCCACTAATTTTCTGCGATTTTAGCACTCCTCCATCCCACTTCAGGTTACTTTAAAATACACTTCTACTTTGAAATACACTCTGAGATCGCTGAGATACATGTGAGTGGGATTCTTAATCGACAGAATTAATAATAATTAATAAATTGGAAAAAAAGTAATTTAATTAATGAGCATGTGCTGAACCGTGAACCTGTCCCTTAAATCCAATACAATAAACTTCCTCTCATTAGCCCTGGACTTATACAATTACGTAAGGGGTTTTAGGAGGGGCTTAGTATAACCGTAATAAAAAGAAGCGTTTCAAAACAAGCTAAGCTATATAGTATAATATCCAAATACTTTTTGAGTTTACTGGCATGTTTAAGATTCAAAACCACGTTAAAAATAAATCGAAATCATTTCAATACTAGCCTGCGAAAACAGCCGTTTATCGTCGCTACTCGCCGCACGGGAAGTTTCGCCAGGAGGTACGTCTGCGACTCAGCAACAGACATTCCATACTGATGACGTAAATCAATGTTTACATAATAAATTCGGTAGCCATGGGCTTCCAAATGCAAATATGTTCAATTTTACGTTTCTCCTGGTCCGTTAAGTTTCTCGGAAGGTCGCGCGCGAGAGAAAAGAGAAACCATGTCATTTCCATTGTCTGTTCTGTTATCCACCTTAGTCTTCGACCAATCAGCGCGCGAGAAATCACTCAGTTATTTATTTTGGAACAAGTTTGTCACACTTGGAAGTCGATCAATAATGATAAAAAAGAATGAGCCTATACTAAACCAGCCAACACTCTTTCCTTTTCGGTATTTCGTAACTCACTTTCAATGCACTTTACTAATTTTGTATTTGAAATGCTTGTTGACCAAATTAATGTGAACAACANCCAGGAGGTACGTCTGCGACTCAGCAACAGACATTCCATACTGATGACGTAAATCAATGTTTACATAATAAATTCGGTAGCCATGGGCTTCCAAATGCAAATATGTTCAATTTTACGTTTCTCCTGGTCCGTTAAGTTTCTCGGAAGGTCGCGCGCGAGAGAAAAGAGAAACCATGTCATTTCCATTGTCTGTTCTGTTATCCACCTTAGTCTTCGACCAATCAGCGCGCGAGAAATCACTCAGTTATTTATTTTGGAACAAGTTTGTCACACTTGGAAGTCGATCAATAATGATAAAAAAGAATGAGCCTATACTAAACCAGCCAACACTCTTTCCTTTTCGGTATTTCGTAACTCACTTTCAATGCACTTTACTAATTTTGTATTTGAAATGCTTGTTGACCAAATTAATGTGAACAACAACCTTGTTAAGGGAGCCAAAATAACAAAGGAACGGACTATAGTAAAGAGCGCAGAGAGTTATTTTGAAAGGCATTTTTTTAACCAAGAGTTTTATTATCAAGGGTAAGACAGCTGAACCCTATGGGATGAGAAGATCATTCGTTATGAAGCTCGGTCTTTTATATTTTGATTTTATACAGAGTCTTTTATAGAAGTTTTGGTCAATTACATTGTTTATCAACTAATTATATGTACTCTCTTTTAAATCTTGTAAACAAGACACAGTAACAAAAACACAGAGGTTTTAATAGAAATAGGACAGTTTATTACTTAAGAAAACAAGAGAAAAAAAAAATGGACACTATATTTCTTTGAACCCTTATTGCGTTTTTTTCCTCATTCCATCATGCCTGTGGCAGGGGGAACTGGACTCGACATGCTATTGTCACTTGTCCCGTGAACCATCTGGCCAGCGGTAGCATGTCCTAAAGGAGGATTACTCGGAGTTCCTGGGGCAGACGCTGGTGATGCAGCATTGGAGCCCATAAAGGAGACTGGGGTGCTACAGCCGGAAGTGGGATGGGAGCCCACCGGGGGAACTGAACCGGGGTTCACTGGCGGGGCTGGGGAAGCGGAAGCAGACGGCGGATTGGATCCCACGGGCTGACCGCTTGCTGTCACTACAAAAATTAAATGAAGGTTTTAAGTACTAAATTTCAAGCAGGTAATATGGACACAATTTTGTCTCTAGCGGCGATTAGCGAGGAGAGAGCGCTGTATTCGCAAGCTAAAAATCCAGTAAAACAATGAACAGACAGAATACATCACGGGTAAGTCTTTTTTTATCCATTTCATTGAAAATAAGTTTAGATCTAACGTTCGCACATGTCAGAATTGTATTTCTCGTATATAGAAAATGTCTTATTTGCAATGGTCGCATATAACGCTTCAAAGGCAAGTCTAGCAGATAGGTCGGGTGTCACATTAAACGTTTTCTCTCGTAACGTGAGTGACTTAAGAAAACATGTTGGGTTAGGATAGGCTCCTGGTTAAGAAGGAATAGGTGGACAGTTTTTCGGAATCTTTACCTTGCGGAGAAGGACTTGGCGCCTGAGGTACGTTGTGACCGGCTACTACCGTCTGCGAACCCTGTGGTTGAGCTTGCTGAGAAGGCCTGTGTTGTTGTGGTTGGCGTTGCTGTGGAAACTGAGGCTGTGGTTGGGATACCTGTGGCTGTGGTTGAAGATGGCCTGGGGAGGAAGCCGAAGGGGACAAGTGACCAGCTGCTGCGCGTACGCGCATCTCAGCCGCTTTAAGTTGTTCTTGATGGAACTGCTGGCGTTCGGCAAGAAGCTGCTGTCGCTGGTATTCCAACTGAGAAAAACAAAAGTTAAGAAGAAAAATTGGTTTATAATGAAGGTACCCAAAAGGCTTTTCGGGATCCGGGATTTCCTTTATTTAAGACTTGACATCCGCGCTCTCTCTTATTTGAGGATCGGGATCCGAGATTTCTCATTGAGGCTTGGGATCCGAGATCTCTCTTATATGAGGCTCGGGATCCGAGAATTCCCTTATTTGAGGCTCGGGATCGGGTATTTCCCTTATTTCAGGCTCGGGATTTGGGATTTTGCAGCAAAATCGGGCCGAGATTCGGGATTGAAAGTATGCGCGGGGGGTGGGATGCCACACATAGCCACGAGATTGAACGAAATTTTGGGTCGGGACTACGGGATTGAAAAACCTTATAGGGGACCCTTTATGATGTTTACTTTCATTTCAGAAAACATTTCAGAAAATACTGTACAACGTGACTCTATGACAAAAAAAAAAGAAAAGAAAAGAAAATCGATATGTTCTCCATTTAACTCTTTCGCCAACGTTTAAAACTTTCCGACACTTCGTGAAGGATGTTACCAACGAAATTGCCTTCTTGTAAAGGACAATTTGAGAGTGTACATTTGCATTTTGGGGATTCCTCATACAAAATAAGAGGATCTGATTACATATTGTTCAACCCTTTATTATAAGTTAGAATCGGATTTACACCACGTGAAGGAAACTTGACTTTGCGTGTAATTGAAGTGTCATTGTCTCACCATAATCATAAACTCATATCTTGAGCCATGCTGCTCTTGTTGGGCTCTTGACTAGTTTTAAGACGCTATACAATGGGCCCATTACACCATATTACAAAGCCGTCCGCATGAATTCATGAGCCTCACCTCTTTCTCTTACCACAACTGTTTCTCTCCAGATTGACTGATCACAGACTTCAACCTCAAAGAGGCACGGAACTCGAGTTCTTTTCCTTGATCAAAAAGGAAGGAAATACACAGTATACTGTACTCACCGCTTCGCGTTCACGGTCCATGATCGTCTCAAGTTCTTCAAAGTGGCGAAGTTTTATCTCAAGTTTCTTCATCTGAGTCTCCACAAGTAGAGCAACGAGACTCTTGATTTTCCGTTCTTCAACTTGAGCCAAATGCTTCGAGAAAAAAAAAAAACGCATTCTCGGCTCAATAAAACAAAGCGAACAGAAGTATCAGAAGTCAAACTTCGAGTTACAGCGGGGTTTCGAAGGTCTGTCTAGCGTAATAAACTTATTGCCAGAAAAGCTCAGACTCTTTTGATTTAATTAGAGTAAACGGTGTCAGAGAACCGATACGAGGTGGTTTGCATGCAAGAAACCACCTAACTCCTGAGGCCGGGGCTAGGTCAATAACTCTTGCTACTGGATGCAACCATTAATAATATAAGTGGTGTTCATGCCAGTAACGCTCTTCATCTTAACGACACACTCAATCAGGTCTGACGTGAAGTTCAGAGCAACTGGCCCTTGTGAATGAAAGGTAGGATCTTGAATATTCGCAATCGTGAGAAGATTCAATAATCTTTATTCATATATGAACAAACTTCCGCTGACAGTTTTAATTGCCTACAATAAGTACAACACGTAACTTTTGGTGTAGCAATACGCTGAAAGAAATCGCTCTAATCACCAATTTTGCACTTCATAGCCATTGTTCCGACTAGGGGAACTAAGTTACGGGAGGAAACCGCGACTGCCAGGACAATAGGCATGTCCAACAATGAGAGTATGCGACGTCAACCGCCACCACGAGAGGTCACTTCCACTGAACTCCGTTGAACTGGCCAAAAGGGGGGCAAACACCAAGCAATTCTAAACAAAGGCCGCAATGCATCATGCCACTAGCGCGCAGGCCCAACACGACGGAATTTGAAAAAGTTACTTACTTCCCGCGTCACGGAAAAATTATGTATGCAGTGAGAATAGTTACCTTGGCTTTAACAGCAGCGGCCGCCAGAGCAGATGCGGCCGCTTTAGCGATGTTCTCTTCCTTAATAGTTTGGGTTTTCTCTCCATTTTCTGGTTGGCTACTCTTCTCTGATGCATCTTCCATCTAGACATAATAAGAAAACAAAGCAGATCATTGCGTCTATTCTTCATTTGTTTGTAGCAAAACATGGTTCAAACTTGAGTCCATGGCTTGATTAAACAATTAGCATCGAAAAGCTTTAAAAAAATACATGCGTTGTCCTGGATTCTTAAAATTACTAGACAAACACTTTTACATTAATTCAATAAACCCTAATATCAAAACTTAAGATCTCATTTGCTGTCCCTATTCGTTTCCTATAAAAGAAGTGAGGAGAAGTTGTTCAAGTATCAATTAGATTTATCTTCTGTGATCATGTCCTCAGTTCTCATCACCAATCTGTTTGGTATAGGAATATTATTACACACTTACCCATCCCGTAAGCCAACATTAACACTTACTTCTCATTTAGGGGCAAAATGTTGGCTTAGGGGAGGGGTGGGTGGGCATTTCCCCAAACGTATAATGATCCTGATATTGATACAAGGGGAAAATTTGATACTGACACTCCTAGACACTGGATTCCAGGTACTGGATTCCGGATTCTTTGTCAGTGGAACTTGGATTACGGATTGTGGATTACGGATTCCGATCGTTCGTGGGATTGCTTGAGCTGTATTCCGGATTCCAAAGGCCACGATTCCACGATTCTACTGCAAATCTTTGCTGGATTCCGGAATCCAAATTCCATTACATGGGGCGTATACCTTGTCATCAATCAAAATCAACTGACTAACCTTAACATCTTGTGTTCCAGTCTCTGATCCTTCAGGTGCGGTCGGTTGACTGCCATTAACCTCCATAGGCTGCGGTGTTTCGTCTAAACGTAAAAAAAAAAAAAAAAAAAAAACAAACCGCGGGTTTTTTTCCACAAAAAAAAGGAAAAAAAAACAAAAACAAGACCAACAAAAAAAAGAAAAAAAAAAATAGAAAAAAAATACACACAAAAAACCGGGCAAGTGTAAACAAGGATTACAAAATACTGGAACAAATGATCGATGGAGACACAAAGAAGCAACAAACACCAACCCACAACCAATAATTCCTTATCATACAAAAAAAACAACTATCCCTTCATATCTTTTTGTCCTCCCTTCTCTCCCCCTGGGGGGGGGGTGTGTCTACCCCAAACACCCCCCGGGCGCGGGGGTTTTTCTAAAAAAAAAAAAAAAAAAAAAAAAAAAAACACACCGTGGATTTGTGTCCACAAATTAGAGTAAATAAGCACACTTCTGGGTTGTACTAAGCAAGGGACAAGCTTCTTTGAAAAACGATACAGCTAGACAACTGGAAAAGGAAAAGCAAGGTTTACACGTCACTGCAGAACTTGCTCGCTGTCGATTATACGGAGATTCAATTGATACCGATCGTGGCTGCATTACAAACGATCACCATAGTAATTTAGGAGCGGCGGAGCGGGAAACGGAAGAAGAGCCTGCAACTACGTATGTGGAATTTGAATATCTGCATCGAAAAAGTTGATGCGAAATGCTGATTGGCGGAGATCACATTAATAATCACGTAATTACTCTTGGCACGTGATTTTTAATTTTTGTTTACATTCGCGCTCGTCGACGAGGAGCCAGAGGGGATTTGGAGGTGGAATTCAAATTCCAGAGACGTAGTTGCAAGGTCTCCTTCCTTTTCACGCCCCGTCGCTAGAGCGCCCCAAAGAGCTTACTCGCAGACTAACTTGGGATTAACAAGCTTGGAAGCCGCTTGCTTATTTCATTCGCGTTCGTTACGCGTTTCGCGTTTTTTACTCTACCTTTGCTTTCCTCGGAGTTTTCCTGTTTTGCCTTCTCTGCCCGTGCCTTGGCAGCATTCTTTACATGACTGTCGATCACTGACTGGGAGATCTCGTCCTTCATCTCAGAGAACTTCTCTGTTTATAACAAGGAGACTAACATTAAATTGTGTTGTCAAAGTAGCAACAGAGGAGGGCAGCAACCCCCTCGGCAGCACGGAGGTTTATATGGCAACCTCGCCACAGTCAACCTCCGGGCTCTCACCGTTACTCTTTGGGACATTAGAGAGCTTAAGAAACGACGACGGCGACGTCAACGAGAACGGCAAAAGGGTAATAGGTTTAGATTGGCAAAACAATAATTTTGTATCACCCTTTTTTGAACATTTCTTTGCCGCCGTTGCACGACTTCAACGTGAAACTGCCAAATTTCACGTTTTGTCGAGGACGTGAACACAAGACAGTGACCCTCTTTTTCCTTTCGTGAACTTTGATATAGTCCTTAAGAATTCAACTCCGGAAAAATTTGCCAATATTTGATGAATAGAACGAGATGGAATAAGTGTTCGAAAGACCATTCCAGTTTGTATTTCCTTACCTAAGGCTGCCTTGGCAGCCGCACTTGCCACCCTTGGATCCACAACTGAAGCAAGAAACGCCACTGTGGACATGATAGGGTTTCCTTGCTGACTGAATGGCACTGGTTGGTGTGATAAAGGACCTGGAGAGCAGTAACAACGGATTTTAAACAATTGGATTCTCTACAAATGAAAGAGAAAGTTCTAGCTAGGTTTTACATTGAAATAACTAGTAACAGTTGACACTAAAGCTGTCCCCGCTCTGTATATTGTCAGTCAATTGTATCCTTGGTCTTTGTGTAGCTGTTTGAAATATAACGATTCATATTAAAGATTTTCACACATACTACATACAACGGGCGAGATATAAAAAGCAAGAAACGCAAGATGCCCTGATTCAGGTCAATTTACGCAGCTTTGATCAAAACACGCTCGGTGTTAAGACAATACTTTGCTTATGAAAAGCTTTATAGAGGGTCATTTGTGAAAAAGGAAAACACCAGTACAAAATTTAATCGTGGACGAATTTCTGTAATCGTCGACCTTGCACAGTCTACACGTTTGCGCTGCCAGCTGCCGTGCGAAAAGGAATACTACGCACTTTACCCCTACTGCGAAAATGTAGCCTCTACTCGAAGGGTATAGTGATCTTCCATCGTTCTCTGATAAGCTACAATTATGGACTAAAGTCTTGGGACACTTTTGCGTTTCTGGGGCGTTGTCCAGTTCACACAGGTCCCACCCCTCCCCTCACCCCACAGACAATGTTGTACGCGTGTATCCACTTTTTTTCCCGACTTTTCTACTTTCACTCGTTCGCTTGGGAAAACTTGCTTGCTTGTGAACTGAGTTGTACATTCATAGCCCCAAAGCCGAACTTGTGTCTGAAAAATCTGAATCGTTCCCAATCAAAGGGTTTTGAATGACAAACTCGTGTCGGGCTTACAATCATTCCTTTCGGAACACAATTTTGGTCAAACACGTGGTCGGTGAGTTTTTGAGGCTTGTTTAAGACAGTGAAATGAGACAAAAAAATGAAAATTTCAGTTTTGCTCTAATACTTTCAAAACAGTTGCTCCACTGAATGTCACTGAACACACACGTCAGTAACGCAAAAGAAGATCGAAGTATGACTGTACAACTAATATCACAAATTCAACCCAAGCCATCCTTTCGGGCTTCACACAGCCTAAAAACGCATTAATACGAACCTTTACGAGGGAATAATTAGTTAGCAGACGACCACTTTCCGACGTATTCTCACAGACAATAGCTCTATACTGACAAACAACGTCTGAAGAAAATCGCTCAGTTGTTGTTAAATTTACATTGGACACACACTCCACTCACCCAGCTGTATATCCTCAAGGAATGGATCTTCAATTGGAAGTCGAAGAAAATGCAGAATACATTCATCTTGAGTCCGCGTCCCCACATGTTCTGCCACTTTGTTCCAGTCATCTTTGTACATTTCTAAGCCCTGAATTCAACGATGAAAAAATGGAAAGTAACTAGTTGTAAGTGTTACAATTAAGAAATGGAAAAGGTGCAGCATGGATGCATCCGGGAAGTTGCTAAGCAGGAAGAGGCGTCAAGGGTTGCTGGAGGCGTTGTGCGCGCTAGCTTTCGTCAGCATTAACTCAAATGAGAAGTGTAACGCCATGTTACCATGGTAGCAAAATTTCTTGATCACAACAGTGAGGGAGCTGAAGGAACGACAACATCGGCGGCAAAGAGAACGGCAAAAAGGCAAAAGGTTTATTTTAGCAAAACAATCACTTTACACGTGCATCACGCATTTTTGTACATTTTCTTAGCCATAGCTGAACGACTGCGAAGTGAAACTTCCTACATTCATGTCTTTTTCTTTCTTCTAAACTTAGATACGGTCCATTCGGATTCAACCCAGAAAATTTCGTCATCATTTGACAAATTAAATGAAATTGAATAAGATCGATGAAATTTGAAACAGTGCAAATTCACCTTTTAAGTGAATTTTTAGTTTGTTGTCATTCAGAAATTTTGCCACCATGGCAATGTGACGCAACGACTTGCTTCTACTGACCAATCAGGGCGCCGAACGCTTTTACTTGTTATATCATGACAAAACATTACTTAATCTTTGGGAAAAAAAAAACCTTAAGGACATCGGCGAGTCTACCGCCTTTTTATTTGTCTGTTAATTTTCATATTTTCCTTGTCTTGAGTACCTTATCTTAAATTATTTATTTCGCGTACCTCCAACAACAGCAGTGTCTCTTGCTCTGTCCATTCCTTTGTAGCCGTTGCTGCCTGAAAAAGGACATCAAAAAAGCATTCATTTAAAGGTAAGGTACATGCAATTCAATTGAAAGTAAAAATAATGACATAGAGGTTTAGAAGAATCTCACAGAAACGCATATGCCAAAGCTACGTCCACGTTATTCTCAGGCCGTGTAAAAACAAAGAAACAAACAAACAATACAAAACAAAAAAACAAAAACAAAGAAACGAAAAACAACAGCTGTTTCCCGCCTCCAGTCGCTTCACTTTTTGGGGCCGCCTCCCTTTCATATATCAATGGGCCGTTTTACAGTTATGGATGGAAGCGAGGCTGAGAGTGACCTTGTTTTGATACAAACCTTCTTTACTTTGTTATGGAAATTGTTCTTGAAAAATACTAGTTAGCATAAGAATAACTTGATTTACATAATAAAGCAGGAAAGTTTGTATCAAATCAAGGTCACCCTCAGCCTCGCTTCCATCCATAACTGAAAAATGGTCTATTGTTATTAGAAACGTTGGAGCGAACAAAAACCAACAGGCGTTACTTGTTGTCATCGCGTCGGACTTACAATCCGGCGGTCCCGGGTTCTAGTCCCGCTCTGGCGACTTGGACAGGCTAGTAAATAGTCAGCTGGTTGCCTTCTGCCAGTTGGGGTTTTTTAATCCTGTTATGTTGTATTTGAATTATTTGTTTCTAAGTATTTGAGTGAAGTGCCTGTAAACTAGCTGGATAAACTAAGTGCACTTTCCACTATTAAAAAAAAAGAACATTAAAAAAACCTTCGCCCGCTCTCTCTCTCTTTTTTATGGAAATCCGGACCACTAACATTTGTAATATTTTTTACTTGATCCAATAACCAAGCGACGGATAACTAATACGTTTTAAGGAAATGAATTGCTTCACTCACTATGGATAGAGATTTATCTAGTGGATGGCACAATCTGTATTTCGAACAACTTGGGCAAAAGTTTTCAGTGTTCAAGATTTATGTACTTGCCTTCTGGCTCTTTTTTGATAAATATTGGTCTGAGCGAAGTCTAAAGGAAGAAAAAAAGAGAAAACCACACTGAGTTCTTTACTCGTACAAATTATGCCCGGTGTACGTGTTCAGCAGCATACTCTGATACATGCTGTGGTTTCATTAAATCATTCCATGGTTCATCCATTATGATTCTTTTGTAAAACTTTGTATCAAAAAAAGAAAAGGATACATTGTAAAATCGAACCACAACATACATCGCATTAGAGCGATTTTCGTACGACCTTGAAAAATGGTTTCGGAAAGTGTTCGATATTTGTTTTATCGGCCAATGGATGGAAAGATCAAAACATTGACTCTTTGTTTTCCCGCCAAAGAAGACCCTAATATGGAGAAGGCATTGTTCGATTGGCCAATCGTGTTGCAGTATGACGTCAAACCTAAGTATCAATTGATTTCCAGAAAGTTTTCGGGCGTCAAGTCTTTTCACCCGACCGTTCGCCTAACCAACCAAAAGCCACGCACGTTTTGTATCCGTTCGACAAACCAATCAAATCTATTTCCGTTCGTTTGTTGTTGCTGTGTTGTTCGCGCGTTTTCATTTCAAGGTCATACGAAAATCACTCTACCTAGCACAAACAACAACACAACAACAACAACAACAACAACAACAACAACAACAAACTACAGCCACCGAAAAAAATTTAACATTTAATTCAATATAAAAATACTACGAATACTACCTGGGTTCCCCCACCTCCATATAAACAGGCCCTTAATCATTTGAGTAGATTTTTTTTTGGTATTTCGCGAAAGAGAGATACTCCCTCATTCTTGCCTACATGTACATATTAACACAGAAATCTCTTACCCAAAGTTTCCACTAGTTATCCCACTCTTCTGCGTTTCTTTTCCACCAAAGTCGTCTTTGAACTGAATCATTTGTTGCGACGCTGGAATCTGGAAGAATCATAATTAAGATTTGGAGATGCAGTGGTTCGAGGTTTTTCAACCAAAAACCCACCTGTATCTCTCTTGCATACGTTTTATTGGCGTTTGGCGCCGGTTACAAACTGCAGATATGCTTCACACTTAGTTGGTTTGTTAACACGCCTGATTTTGCAATTGGCAGAGATTACAGACAATTTTAATTAACCATTTTTTTTTTTGTGAAAGGTTTGAACGTGTTATTGGCGCCAAAATACGAAAAAAAACGTTTTATTGGAGCCAACAGTTACCAGCGCCTTACAAACGACTTATTGACGAGATCAAGCAAAACTAACTACGAGAGAACGACTGGAGAACTGACAATTTGACTAACAATAGACGACTGTTTAACTGTGACAATAGACTAATCGAAAAGCACCAATTATTGATTACGAGTCTTCATAGCCAGTAACATCACGGCTTAACTGACAGACGACCAATAACATCGCGACGTAATTGACCAATGAGATCAATAACCAGAGTATAATACCATCAACTGACGTGATACAACTCACTTTGACTCTGAAGGTGACTACCGCACAGGTTGTCGAAACGTCAGTCACTGTCACGGACGATCAAACTCAACCTATATATTTTTTTGTGGGCTTTTTTGTGGAAATTCTTCACGTGACCCTGAGCTGCAAGGAATCAACGGTTAATATTCTACTGAAAGCTCCGCTGAGGTGAATCGAAGAACAAGAAGTATACGCGGTACCTGTGTTTTCGCGGGCTGAAGCGGCTGAAGTCCTGCGGGAGTATCAGCAAGCACGTGAAAGTGTGATGTTGAAGGTGGTCCCATGGGAGCAGGCCGGCCGTCAGAATCAACTTGATAGTTTATCAGACCCCACTGTTCTAGGAAGGCGTGTACCCTAAAATATTTTAGGAACAACAAGACACAAACAAGTGAAGTACTAAGCTGTCACGCGCCAGGCATACTTGGCAGATTGGGTGAGTTAGTTATTAATTGATTAATTTCAATGCGTGAGACTAAGTTGCCACGTGTATTCGTGTATTCGTGTAGCCGAAAGCTCAAGAATAAATTAAGAGAGTACTAAACTGGTTTTTAGTTTCTTTAAATTCTTGTATCAAAGATAGTGAATTTCATAATCAGAGACACGCCGACGCAAGATGTTAAAAACGCCCTCGCAATCTAATAGTTTCTTAATTTTCAGTGACGTCATGAGTTGTTTACTCTATTTTAGTGGGAGATTGTACGATCCTGACCGACAGTTATTGCTTTGTAGCTTTGGAATGGCATTCTACTTCTACAATGAAGAAGACAAAGATTTTAAGACAAAGTCACTGGGCTCGAAAAAAGTCTCATCCGGTAGTCCGACACAAGTAGATTTTCTTGCTGGTCAAGTTACTTTTAAAGTTTACTTGTCCAATAGGCAAGGGTTGAAGCGAGTACCCACATGACGACCACAGTACTGGTTAGATGAAAATCTAATGTACCTGACAATAGCACACACATCTCCAGCTAAGTTTCTTCTTGAGGCTGTAGCTGTTAGGTATTCGGTGGGGTTCAGCCGGTATGCATCAATCATGAAGTTCCGACTAGCGAGGTACCTTGAGGAAAATAACGGATATAACCATAACATTATTCAGTTTTGTGTAGGGTTTGAATAACTGTAAAACTACAAAATTAAAAATATCCATACGATTGGATGAAAATAAAATAAATAGAACATCCACGATTTAGTAAATCGTGTATTAAAAGAGTAACACACACCAGAAGGCAGCTTTTAGTAAGCATCAAAGGATGAAATTCGGCTTTGAAATCTCGCCCTTTCTGATGTTTGGATATATCGATGTTATACAAAACAACCTTGGTTTGGATATCATTACCTCACATAATTATTTTTAACTTTTCTTATCAAGCAGCAACTGAGTTATTATCATTTTAATTTTTTTTTTCCTGCAGGTACTTACACTTCAGGAGACTTGGATTTATTTTTTCCATTAAAAAATTCTGGCAAAGCCCTTCGTTCAATGGCATGGACACTAAAACAAACAAGAAAAAAAATAATATACAATCAAAGGCATTAAAAGGACATCATCATCATCATCTTCATCATCATCATTATTTCTTTAGTCAATTACTTTAAAAGGCGGCTCAACTACACGGTTTTAATAAGATTTTAAGTAAGTGGCAAAAGCTTTGGGGTAGGTGGAGGAGGAAAAAACAGTCGCGGCGAAGGCGTAACTTGCCAGCGCAAGTTTCTGGAAAAAACAAATTGACATCTGGGCCTCTTAGAATGTATTTCCAGCATTCTGGAGCAAAAATTAAAGTGCGTGAACAGAACACAGACATCATTAATTTTGACTTTTTTATTCGCTTACAGCACATGGATATTCTATTTAAAGTAGGGTAATTTCCAAAGAAAATTAGGCGGCGAGTTCAAGTGAAATAGCCGGCGAATTCCGCCGGCTACCAACTCTTACTGAAACCCTGACTGTTTACGATGAAGGTTGTACTCTGAACAAGCATCCCTACAGTTAAAACTATTCTCAAACCTGTTGTAGTCAAACCAAGAGGCGTAACTGGGGATGATAATGTGATGCGTCTGTTCTGTCAGATTCTCGTCATGTGGTTCAGTGTCTGGCACGTTGAGAGGTTCTTTAAACAGTCCTTCCTTATTCTGGTTGGATGAAGGCGAACCTGGCGCAGATTGCTCGGTGCTCTCCTCTTGTTGTTCCTGGAAAAGAATAAGGACAGCAGTGAGGAGTTGTCTACACGATTTTTGCGGATGAGCTAATAAACCGAGAAAGCACCGAAGTGTTTTTCCATTCCTACTTTCTCAAGAAGAGAGTTTAGGAGGACTATGTAGCCTATGTAGCAAGCGTTTCCGTGCGGTTTAGGAGCAAAGCCGCGGAACGAGGAACGGGATTTTCGGGTTTAGTTCCATTTTTCGCGCGGCCAAAACCAAAATCTCGTTCCTCGTCGTTCGTCGATCTTTGCTCCGAAACCACATGGAAACGCTTGCTAAGCAGTCTAGAGACTATAACAGGTTAGAGACTCTAAAGTTTTTTGTAGATGTCTAGAGAGAAAAAAAATAAGGCAGAAAGGAAAGAAAAAAGGTTGCACTTATGACATGTTATGTTCTATTACAGCACCTGAGTATCCATGTGACTGCTTGTGTCACCCTCCTCACCTTCACCACTTTCTGGTTTCCCTAGAGAATGACCAAAACAAATCAAGAAGTTATTTTTAATGTCCCGAAGTACCCAATATCATATTAAAGGTTCGCATCCGAATCCACTATGTTTTCATCTAAGCCGGGACATTTTTTTGTAGCGAGAGATCCCCCGGAACAATTCAGGTTTCTGAGAAACTGCCCACCTACCACTCCCCTAAGTCAACATTGACACTTACTTCTTACTGAGAACAAAATGTTGGCTTAAGTGAGGGGTAGGTGGGCAGTTTCTCAAAAACCTGTATTGATTTGATTGACCCATGTATGGTAATCGAAGACAATCGTGGATTCTGGATTCCTTATCAGCGGAGCGTAAAATCAGGAATCTGGGTTCCTTGGGCTGAATCCCGGATTCCAAAGCGCAGGACTTGGGATTCCGAAAGCAAAAATTTCCCAGATTGCAGAACCCAGATTATCTTTAATGGGGTATTAAAGAGAGAATCTCTGAATAATTTCTCAACTAACTATTTTGGTGACTATGCAGAGAAATAAGACTCAACACTGTAGGTAAAGTTTGATACCTGAATCTGAAATGTCGGTTAGGGTGGTTCCTTTCATTGGCTGTAGATCACTTTCCTTTCCTTTAGAGGCTGAAAACATAAAATCAAGAGATAAGGTTCTTGGAATTGTTTCGTATACACCTTGCATAACTAAGACCGATTTGATTTATGGAGAACTTGCAGCTAAATGGAGAAGACAAAAGCAGGGCTTTAAAAGTTGGCCAGTCAATGGCAATTGCCGGTTTAAAATAGCCTTTCTGCGATCAAATCCTTGAATGACTGGACATTTTGTTTAGTCGTTTACGCTTCAAATAGAAAATTTAATTCACAAGTTCAGATTTTAACTAAGGTTGGAAAATTCTAAAGTTCTTGGCGAAAAAAAAATGGAGACTACGCACAACTTGACCAGCGCCAGCCGGGAAAACATTTCAAGCACTGCGAGAAGACAAAAAAAGTCATTGTAGCAGTCGAACTACCATGGCTTATTTCAATACCGCAGTGTACGCAGGGCATCGTTTTCTCGGCAAAATGAGTATATGGAAGTTGCAAATATGCTTGTTCCATGACAGGACATAATTATGCCCAACTAAGGAATCACAGAATTTCGTTCAGTCAAAACAAATAATACATTTATGTGGTCGGACCAAAATCGCGGACACATTATGTGTGGCAGGTTCGAAATTCGCAGGTAGATTGTCCTCATTTTACTGGCTGTTATTTATAAGGTTCTTCCAGTGTGCATTGATAAAACAGAAAAACCATGAACGGTCTGTAGAGGTCTCACCTGTAGTACCAGCAGTTACCTCTTCAACCTGCAAAGACAAGCCATGATATAAGTTTATGGTATTAACTCAGTAGCAGACCACAGTTAAATGAAGGAACATTCAAGGCCCTAGGGCGGCAATCCATACCCTGGGTACCAGAGGTTTTTCTCTCGTGCTGCGGAAATTTTCGGTGTTGGCCGAAGGCCGACACATCTCCGGCCGTAGGCCGAAGCAGCGAGAAAAACGCTTTTCACGCGGGTCACTACAAAGACTTGACAGAAACCGGAAACCGCGCTAAAAAAAAGTCTCTGGTACCCAGGGTAGGCAATCCAATATCCTGAAGCAAAGCCATTACAGCAGTCTATACTCTAGGATTTCCCTAGGCTATTAACCCACGTTGATTAAATTCAAACATCTGGGTATAGTGTACATAGAAAAATACAGTCCATATCCCTGGTGCTCTACAACCCATTAATGACCTGGATTTACTGCAGTCCATACCACACGATTCTTGGAAATTTAAAATTACACTAACTTGACGGTGATGAAGGAATTTAAGTATTTATTTAAACCAATTTATGTTTTGTTTGCTTACATTAGGGACAGGAGATGGATCAGGAAGATCTTTGGTAGCATCATCACTAGAATGAAAGGAATAAATTTTACACAGAAGTTACATGTAGAGTAACACTCTAGAAGTTTGTTGGAGAGGTTGCGTTATGTGACGAGAAAAACAAAATGGCTGCGAGGGAGACCAGTAACACACATACACACATAAAAAGAAACAAAATCAAAACTAATAAGTACACTGCAACAGTTTACAGAACTCAAGGAAAAAGCACTTTATTATTATCCTCAGTTTGTACCTGTCATTTTCATCTTCTTTACCAGTCTTCTTCTTAGGATTGGCTGGTGCTGCCGCCCTGTTTAGCCAACCAAAAAAGAAGTTCAGGTTTTAATTACTTTTAAGTTATGTTATTATGTAGACTTAAGAACGAACTGTGGTGTTGCCATGAAGGCAGGGAAGTAAATGACAGCAACAACATAATTACATGTACAGTGAGTGTATGCGTTCATAAAAGTGTACTTAGTATACTTATTTATTTATTATTTGTGAGAAGGTACAAACTGTAGAATGGATGACTATTGAGTGCATTAAGCTTGTGATCTGGAGATGTACGAACTTGTCACATTTGTTGAAACACTTAACACATCAAAGAGGTGTAGCCAGCTTTTCAACTAGTTGTAGGTCTGGCTGACTTTAATTTTCTTACATCCTGAAACTTGCATGCATGACTAGTTGGCCAAACCATTTGCTGCAAATAAACGTGATTCTTAACACTTTGGGCAGGGTTGTCACTAACATTTCAAGTTGACGGGTATATGCGATAAGTAAGAGAGAGGAATTGTACAGCTAGGTTCCAAGTACTTCTCGTTCTATTTTCCTTTTGTTTCTAATGAAAGTAGCTGGGGCTCCCGCTCATAGCAGCCGGGGAAAATCCCTAGGCCACGGCTCTTAGTAACAGCCCTGATTTAGTTAATTGGGTTGAGAAGGCATTACATGCATTTACTCTCTACTGCAGGGCTCCTGGTCTTCCAGGAGAAGCAGATCTTCTTTTGGGGCAAGTAACTTTTAAATTCACTTGCCCAATGGGCAAGGTCTAAGCAAGTCATCTTCTAACTAAATCATTAACTAAGATGAGTAAGCAGTGGCCCCAGGGAAGCAAAAATTTAATGTGAGAGCTGCTCTCCCAAAGGACAAGCTGGAATTCAAGTTTTTTCAAGCCCTCCGTTACTGACTACTAATCAGTTGAATGACAGATTATCGGTCTATTCTACAATGTACAATACTTACGGTTTCTTTTTCTTCTTCTGATCAGGGGAGGGCGAGCGCTTTCGTTTCTTTAGCTTCCCTGCACAAATAAACAAAACCACATGTCACGGCCACTACATAGTATCAATATCTGAACAAACATGTTGATTTGCTAAACTTAATTGTACAACACACAGAATAATACTATTACGTTACACAAGCTAACCAGTCACAATTCCTTTTTCTTTTTTTTCAACATAGAACACAGACTTGACACGGATACACATAAAAGCACATAAGGTGAAGTGCTAAAAGAACTACATGTAGGTCAAATTTATTGTTTGTTCTTGCCCTTGCATTGATGAGTTTCTCTTCAGCTTAAACAGTAACAATTCCAGTTTTATCTGAAGGATAATGTTAGACAGAGCACCTCTTTAGAGTACACTACAAGTGGAAGTGTAAACACCAAGGCCGCGTTTCTTGATGAACTAAACTACAGAGCCAATCAAGACTAAACCTTTTTAAACCCCTTAATAAAACACCAGTCATGCTCCATTTTAGTAGCTGGGGAAAATCCCAGCCCAGTTAAGGAAAACTTGTTTATTTAAACTAAAATAATAATTTATGATGCATTAATGTAATGATATTACATGTACCTCCATCTGGGCTACTGGGTTGCTCATCCGAACTTGCCCCTGATTTGAAACTTTTCCTTCTTGTTTTTCCTAAATAAAAACAGACAGTGTATTGGCAAAAATAATGTAGGTTCTGAATGCAAGTTAGAGCAACACAGATTTACAACTGAAAAAGGTAATGGTTGGCAGCAGTAATGCAGGGTTCGTTGTCACAACTTACCTAAAGCTGTTTCTCCTCTGTTTCCCTGAAAGAAATAAAACAGAGCACATGTGAAATTGCTGTAGCTTGGCATTTTTCCCTTTCAGTAGTACAGTTTTGTATTCTGTGTCTTCTTTGTTGTTCAAGATATTCACACCAAAAACTTACAACAATGACTTAGTTACATGTAAATCTGTGTACATAGTAACCATGTATTGATAATTAGGTCAAACCTAGCAATTAGCTGAACTGCAGAGTTCCCTGCACACTTTGAAAACAACCAGGCTTTTTCCTTATGATGAGAAAAATGCCAGATTTTAAAATACACATGAATTCACTATTTGGACTCTCAATTTTCCAAATTACCATTAATGATAATAATAATAACAAAAAACAACAACAACAACAACAATAACAACAACAACAATTTATCCAAGTCTTCAAACAGGATTTTCTTTTTAAACTAGATAAAATACAAGAAGTGTAATATTGACCACTTACACTGCCATCTGCATCTGCTAGTTCATAGTCTTCTTCATTCATCCACTCATTAAACACATCAAGGTCTGTAAGCCACCGTGCATTTACCTAAATTAAAAAGTAACCAAAAAAAAAAAAAAAAAAACAGTTAAAATGAGACTCGGAATTTGCGAGAAGAGAAAACAAGTTGTAAATTAATGATGTCAAAAGAATCAATTGCCTACCATCAGGTAATTACCTTGCCAATGATATAAAACTACAGCATGGATTTTTTCTTCACATTAGAACAGTACTATAGGCTGCACATGGGAGGGGTTTTATTACCTGCCAGGGTCCTGGATGCTGGGGCTCAGGTTGAGGTTCATCTTCAATATCACCGGATGGCACCCAAGTATCATAACTACAGTGTATGAAGATAATCATGGTAATCAATCTATACTGAATAAAATTATTGTAAATTAAAGGACTGTTAGTAAAAATTAAATGTTTTTCAAGCTTCTTGTCTCTGCCCCCCTCCTGAACATTTCACACCAATCTCAACAGTTTTGTCAGCAGGAATGAAATTTACAATCAAAAGGCTCCATGCAGAACATAATATTATTATTCCCTGGCCCAAAGAATAATTATTTCCTTTTTGGAGTGGACGAGCCCTTCATAATTATGTTCAGCAGCTAATTTGCCACATAATTTTTTGCAAAATGATAATCATGTTAATGAATGCCGAATGCAATGTTAACTATGAAAGACTGATCTGATGCACCCCCCCCCCTCCAACAAAATTCATAAAAGAAAATAACATAGTTTAAAAATAAGTCTAGAATAATAGTATTGAAACACACGGTCATGTACAAATTGGGCATTGCAGGGTGCAAAGAAAGTCAGTTTACAGCTTGCCATTTGGGCAAGCTGTAACTACAGGGCTGTAGCATTTACTAGCCTGAAAATCATTTCAGCTAGCCTGAAAAAATCGACGAGCAGGATTGATTACAGTTCTTCTGTAATTTGAATTCCTCCAAAAAAATCACTTGCCAGTAGGGCAAGTTAAGAAAAAAGAATTCACTAGCCCAATAGCAAAATCCATTAGCCTCAGGGTATTGGACACCACTTCCTTTGCACGCTGGCATTGCAACCTGACTTAACAGTTAAACACCCACCTGTCAGGGTAGTACCACCAGTGTACAAGAACTTGCTTGTCTTGCCTTAACAAGGGTCTAAGCCACTCCTCTGTGCAAAAAAAAAAAACAATGCCAAAAGTCTGTTTCAGTAAATGTGCATGTACACCTGTACCTTGTTGTTGTTGTGTATTATTATTATAGGTACACTGTAGCTACTAATTAACCTTGGAAAAATATAACTTTTTAACCACTTTTTCCCAGTACCATGAAAATAACATGTCATAAAGTTCAAGGGAAGCCACCACAACAACTCCTGAGAGTTAAATCTCAGGTTTCCATTTCCCAAAATAAAGCAACCCATCCCTAGAAGACCTATGAAATATCTCACTCACTACAATATATTTTTTTCATTGTTTGTTTGAAATAAATTATTAAACACATGTGCTGAATCCTGTGCTGAAGCTATGAAAGGCATCTTTTGATTTCAACCCAAACTGCTGTAGCGAATCATTACTGTACTTGAAATTTGTAATTATGTGATCAAATACATGTACATGGTAAACAAACAGTTACCTTCTGGAAAGGGTGGGGGAGGTCCATGAACAATGTGAGTTGCACTAGATTTATCATCTGTAATGGTCCCCTAAAAGGTTGGGAAAAATCAGTATTTAATTGTAATAAATTATATTGTAACTACAAGGGAAATTTTAACATGATTAAACCACAATAAAGAATACAGAGAATGATTCAAAAGTTATAATTTCATTATAGAGGACAAGGTTCAAAGTACCAGTTAATAATAAGGGAAAATCTGCACATTATTTTATAATACTGATGCCAATATAAATCAATATACTCTTGATCGATGAGAGCAAAAAAACGTCTGCCCCAGATGTTCATGGGGTAGATAACCACACTAGATAAAATCTAATAACCACAAGCCACTGAGTAAGACATTATTTTTGTTTCCTTGACTCTTATCTCCTGGAAAGTGATTTACCTGGTGGATAGGACTATCCAGCTATTGAAAGACTATTAGAGCATAATGTTTTCAGTGTAATTTTCTGAATTCCAATCTTACTGAAAATCAACTATGGACAATTAAGACAGTCAGAACTAACTACCGGTACTACATTATATGTGAGTACTACAATCAAATGAACTAATAGAGAATGACATTGCAACCACTTTAATAATGTAAAGACAGGGATGTAGGAATTCAGCATCAATTTTAGAATCGTTGGCAAAACATTAGTACAGCTGGATCTTACAAAATGAAATTTGAATATTTTTTTTACTTCTTTCATGCGCAATATCAAGAGTTAAAGTGTTAAGTATACGTACAAGAAGCAGTTCCAAAAAAAGTCAGTAATGCAAATTTAACTTTTAGCTCTGCAAATAAGCTGTGACCTTACATTGTGTCTTTTGACAATGTCCTTTAGCCTGGATGCAAGTCTCAGATCAAGATCAGGTGTTATGAAGACTTGTGGGACGGTCAATAACTTTGCCTACAAAAATAAGCACAGCATCAATAACATATGATTACAAAGATTACAAAGGACAAGTAACAGTAAAATATACCGGTATAGTAAAATGACCATCTATCTAAAAAAGTATCTCAAGTATAACTTCAGTTGAGTTTGAAAAATACATGTATTTTCCCTTGCCTAAAGGCTAGGCAATTGAAAATATTATGATTTGGACAAAATGTGCATGAAATCATTACTTAATTTTACTCGTCAACATTTGATTACCCATATTAATAATTTATTATATGACATTTTTGATGATCAAATTGTACACTAGAAATCTGCATAATACCCACAGACTCAACATACACTGTACCTCTTTGAGTGCTTTTTCCATGTTTAAGAACAGCTCGACATTTCTGTCCATGCGTGAGGGAGACTGGAAGTCAAACCTTCTCCTGCAAATAAACCAAAACCAGATTTATGATAACTTATTTTATGCCTACAATGGTATGTGTGCTCTGATTGGCTGCTAAGTGGACATTATTTTCTTGTAATGACCGGGCATTACTAGCTAGATGTCCAAGGCATAATTTTTACATAATTTTATACAATCTGTGTTTAACTTGATAGTGGATATCCTCATGGACATCCACGGATGTGATAGCCAATTGACAGCTGTCACGTGACTGTATCGCAGGCTCAAGTCTACAACTCATTGAGGTGACTAATGTTTTTTAGGTTATCCATTGACCAGCAGGACTTTTTACATGTAACCTAGTCAGTTCTGTCATTACAGGGAAATCTCAGTCCTCAGGCTTGATGTATTGACCTAGCCAGGTCTCGGTCTGAGATTTCCAGTAATGACCTCACTCTTGGTGAATAAATGGTAATTATATCATTATACATTGTAAATTACTAAAAACAGTTTACATGTAATGGACCAATCAATAATAAAAAATTAATTGGTTGACACAGTCAAGCCACTTACCATCCTTGTTCCAGTTTGGTTTTAAACACATTAGCAAGAATGACACAAAGGCTCCCTCCAGAAGAGTAATCCATAAACAACTTCATCTACAAATAAAGATATTTATTTTCTTTACTTTCCATGTACAGGCACTGTAATTATTAATTAATAGTTATGTTCAAGAACCCTGTGTGCTAAGAAAAATAAAAAGGGAACTTAGCACTCCTAACCTGTGGAATCCTGTAGGATGCCCAGCATGGAATTTGTTGTTGTTGTTAATGTTTGTTTGTTTTGCCTGTTAGTTAGCTGGTTTTTTCTAGAGTTTCCAACAGCTAGCTGTCCAAGAGAAAAACTCACCAAGCATTTCTGTTTCAGACTCATGAATGTACATTTCTGTACATAATTATACTCATTGATATACACTATACAAGCATGAAATTATAGCAAGGAGCCCAAAAAAGACCTCCGTTAATAAACTCACATTCTTTCACGCATACATTAAACAATCAGAAGTCGAGAACAGCTTCCAGCTGGCTTCTGATTAGATTAAATCTGTACGAAAAGTGTAAATAAATCAAAAGTGGTCACACTTTTGGGCTCTTTGCTGTAATAGATCTACAGACTGTAGGAAATACGAAAAAAACTATAGCATCCACTGTACATTATACAAACATCAAGCCTTGTTTTAATAATAAAAAGAAAGCTATGATATGAACTTACAGGAAGTTTTGTCAGAAGAGCTTGCTTGCTAGCATCTTTACCAAAGTTATCCTAATAAAAAAATAAGATAGAATTTAGATTACAATAACTCTTCTGCAATTTGAATACCTCTTAAATCTTATTTCCAAAAACATTGATATGAAAAAAAAAATCAATTGGTTTAGAACTACAATAGTTTGAACAAAAAAAAATCAACTACAAGTACATTAAAAAAAAAAAACTATATCTAGGTTCCACTGTACATTTGTTATGTACATGTAGTTCTGTAACAGGAGTAGGTACGGTGTAGTAACATGAGTAGAAGGCAGAAGAAACACACTTTACATTCTGAATCGTCCATTTTCCACATATTTACATGTACAGCAACATCCCCACCCATGCAAACATCCTATGGCTTTTATATATGATTATCTCAACTAGTGAGATATGTTAGGATTTGTACTTCAGAGGTGGACTTTGTTAATAAACTTCACCGACTTCTTTGCATCGAAACAACAAAGCTTTAACTACGCTCTTTCCTCAAATCCTTTAACAAATTCTTCAAGAGCCATGGGGTCACCATCGATTTAAGTATCAGACTACACTGCTGGAGTATCAAAATAAGACGGATCGGAAAAAAATGGAATGTCCCAAAACAAAAAGAGTTTTCTCAGCTTATACATGTACATGACATTTAATTTTAATTGTGTCATCAAGTCTGGACATTCATGCGACACGTTAAACTCTAACTTTAGCAGCTTTACATTATAAAGACCTTCAGTACATGTTATCGTTCTAGTAGGTTATTTATGAAATCTTACCTCTTGAAATTGTAATAACTGCGCCGTAAGTGTGGCCAACGTTTTGTTTGTCGGTGGTTCCATCTGCACATACTAATTCAAGCATAAAAAGCGATCAAAGCACTTCAAGAAAGTGGGAATATAATATAAAAAACAATCGCTTTGTCAAATTCAAAACCATGTGATTCTATTCATCGAACAGGTTTATAAGACAATCCGTTTATTGATGGTCACGCAAAACAACATAATGATTACCTTTTTACAATTCTTGAGAAGGTAGTTTTTAACTGGCTCAAAAAGAGCGACAGTGTCAGGAGATTCGTAGTATTTCCAGTCAGGAGCACCAACCTTCTTTCTTACCGCCATCTTGGATTTTTTTTTGTCTGAAGGCTTGCATTCGGGAGCTACGTCACTTATGGCTAACCTAGTGTCTCGGTCACATTTATTGCATAACTGCTAAAAGTCAGGACTAGAAATTTTAAACAGATTAAATTTTTCCAAATTTTACAGCTGAGACTTTAGTTTAAGCCACTGAAACTTATTTGTTGAAAAAGCTTGATAAAGTTTTATTTCAAAAGTAAAAGTCCTCTTAGCATAAATGAGGTAACTTTCCTTGGAGGTAGACTGGAACTAGACGGCGGGTCACGTGATTTCGTTATCGAAAAAAGGGCGCGCTTTGACAAGCGAGGTTATTGCCCGTTCCGAGGTTTGGAACTTTCGACATGAATATTCGAGAAGAATTTCTGAAATCCGTCGAGGAGGAATCCCCAGAAACCTTTCTCCGATTTATGGAACAACATGTAAGCAATGCATTCAGGAGGTCTTTAATGAAAAAACTTACACTATTACATATGTTAATTTGTTCGTGGTATGCGAACAACTCTCATGTCTGTGCATTCATGATATGAATTGTGCAGTTCATGAACTCCTGATCATTTATGTTTAGTTTTAATTGCAATACCTGTACAAGCGTGATCAAACTGAAGCGGCCATTGTTTTAATTTATGATTCGTTAAGGTAGCCATTGGAGAAATTCATGGATTTAGATTTTAGATTGATCTTCAATTAAGCTGCAAAGATGCTTAGCTGCACAAAGAATTAAATTATGCGTGGCAAAAATGCTACATACGTTGTTATGGTGGTGGTTGGTGGGGGCGCCGGGGGGAGGGTCCATAGATTTAACCCTTACCATACAAATGGTATATAACTTCCTGACCGTATCTCCTAAGAAATTCTTTGTTTGCAACCACGTGAGAAGGCGGCCATGTGGGGGGTCAGTACAAAAGAAATATACATGGAAATAGAGCTTAGTTCCCACAGGAGAGAAATGCTTTTGTTCCTGACCACCAACATGGCCGGCATGACGTCACATGCAAACCATCAATACAAAATGTCTGATAAAGATTTCTTTTAATTAATTTGTATGTGTAATCAAAATAATGGTGACGAGTGAAATTAGGGAATAATTTCACACGCGTTTTGTCCAAATCCTTAGGATAATAATTTGGACAAAATGCAAGTGAAATTACTCCCTAAGTTCAAGAGTATACCATTTGATTACCTATTAATATCAGGGGTGACGAATTACGTTAGCAATCTTGGATTTTTCACTTGTTTATCCTGGATCGTATTGATCGAGAACTCTACTTTCTAGTCTCTAACGTTTAGAGCTTAAATTTGGCTTTAATTCAGAATTTTTCTAGAAAATACCTGTTAGAATCCTTCTTGATGTGCTCTTTCATGTGTTCAGGTTTTCTAAAGCGTCTTTTTATGCGCTGGCGTTTTCATTCATGACATTTTAAAAATTCGTCACCATCTTGACACTGAGATGTACGGATGGTTGCCATGGCAATTTTGTAATTTCACGTGTGAAATTACACATTTTTTACTGAAATTTCGCGCCAAAATTAAGGAGTAATTTGTCACCTATGATATTAATTAAGTAATCATTTTTTTTTTAATTTTGCAACCTAAAGAATTCAAGAAATGAGTCATTTGATGTTGAGGAGTTGCTACAGACTTTGCCGAAGAAGGAGCATGAGAGATTGTGGGCTGGACTCCGAGATATGACACACAGACTGATATTAACAAATCCACTCTCATCCCAGGAAAATGATGACTTTGAAAGTGATGAGGAAGGATCAGTAAGTGAAAACTCAACATGCATCTATTATACATGTAATACTGACTAACACTGTACCAAGTATTATGAAAGTGAACAGATCTTCACCTAAGAGCTTGAGATAAAGACCTGAAAAAAATCCAGGCTTGACTGGGAATTGAAACCCTGACCTTTGTGATGACTAATACTCAAGCCAACTGGAGAGCAAGCCATTGTGAGTTTGCAGGTTCTTCCGGCTCATCCTCTTAAATTTCTTATTCCAATGCAAAGATCATGTTCACTTTCATCTCCTTATCTGCAGTTCAAAATGTGTTCTGTTTTGTGTATTTCAATTCCCACCAGAGATTTTTGCTGGCAACTTTGAGCAAACGGAAAAAAAGAAGGTACAAACAACAAACAGACAAAAACAGTCGGAACTTCCTAGCTGCTCACCATCCCCCTACCTAGATGCATCCATGGCAACTTGAAATCTTAGTAACAAGCCTGTATAAAGGTTGCAAACAAATGTCAATAATTATTAAAGCTTGTAAACCTGAAAAGAAAAAGAAAGCAGAATGCGATGCCTCAAACAATAATTTAATTATCTGATTGTACAGTGTGACTTACTGTATGTGTTTAGCAACATGTACAGTATAAAAAGGTGTTTAATGTAGGATCAAAGTAACTTGAAACATAAGAAGCATTAAATTTTTTGTTGTTTCCACTGTCAGCAATGTCCACTTCTTCTCCCATATCTGGAGGGCGTAACTACAGTGGCCTTGTGTGCATTAACTACACCTGAGAAATCCAGCCACACTCCACCTGCTTTATTGGAGACTGCTGTAATTCTTCATGGTATGTGCGATATAGTACAATATATCATACAGTGTGCCATTATAATTCATATATTTATCAAAGTTTTTTTTTTGTTGGAGCTAAATTGTACATTGTACCAACCATACTGTAGAATTTACTCGTGAGGGATAATCCCTTAAACAAACGATTAAAACATCTCCCTTAGCAATTGACCAGTTTAATAATTCTCACAAGTCATAACCTTTTTTCTTGACTGTGTTTTGATAATAAATTATGATGGAACTTGAGTTTGTGTTCGGTTCCCTCAATTACCCAGAGAGGTCTTTCTTAATAGGGTTATCTGTTTTTTTCTTCTTGTTTGTTGTTCGTAACAATTTTTTTGATAGGGTGAAGGACAAATAGTTTATAACACTCAGCATTTGCTACACAGGCTTACTTTATATCACTTATTGTACAGTAAAACAAACAAACAAACAGAATGGGTGGAAGAAGGGGAAAACAATATTGCTTGCAAATACCAATTTGTATAGACTTGCCACAAGTTGACTGCATGAGCACCGAAGGTGTGAGGGACGCTCGCAAAGCAAGATGTGTGTGAGTGATGACCAGAAAAAGGCTTTGAGAAAGTTTAAAATTTGTACTGTATACTCTCTCACAGGCTGTGTATCAATTCACAAACAGCTATAGATATGACTGTATTTATCAATTATAGTTGCCCACCTCAGACAAGGACGTTTGGAATAAAGCTAAACTTACTGTTCTGTAAACCCTCACACAGTTTCTTAAGTTTTTGCTGTTCTTCATGTGGAGTTGAAGTTCTCTGTCAACAAAAACTGTCACAACAAACTTTACACATGTAGCTGTAGAATGTACACTCGTCTGTATTACTGGTCAATTTATCGTTAATAGGAAAAAAATGATGTTGGTTACTCTTGGGACATTAAAAGGTCATTACATTTTTTTCTTTCCGTCCCCTTTTGGTGTAAATTTGAAATAGTGAGTACTACTACTACACTTTGAAGTGATTTTGGTACCTAAGAGATGCAAACTAATTCAAAAGGAAAAAGAAAACATTGTATGTAAGCTCAACCACATTTACAGTGGGTCTGATCCACTTACAGAAGCTGGTTTAACAATAGTTATTCTTGCATGTACATTGTATCACTTGAAGGCTTGTTGATGGTCCTACCAGAAGGAGCTGAGTCTTTGCAGAACAACATTGCACAGCTTTGTGAATCTTGGTAAGTGCGTACAGTGTGAATTGTAGACTTGATTAAAATGGCAGCTAGTTCTCTCCCTCCAGTCTTCTCGGGCTATGTAGTTCCCACTTACACTGTCAGTATTGAAGTCAGGGCTGTCACCAAGATTTCAAGTTGCCGGGTAAATACAACAAGTAGGCGGTCAATCAAACAGCTAGGGATTTCTTTTGATTCTATTTCCCTATGAAAGTAGCCAGGAGCAACGTTCATAGTAGCTGGGGGAAATCCCCAGCTCTCACCTCTTAATGACAGCCCTGTGAAGTGCAAATGTATCTCAAGCATCAATACATAATTGTGCTAAAAACTGTATCTGTTGCAGGTTCCTTAATGAGTTAGAAGGCAAGGAGGAGCTGGTGACCCACGCATTACCATACCTGATAATAAGGAGCCTCAACCGAGGAATTGTAAGCCAGTTAACTGAAACTTTGGTATTATTAGAGGGATTTCGTATGACCTTGAAACAGAAAAAGAAGCAAAACAGAAACAACCAAAGAACAGAAATAGAGCGATTTGATTGGTTTATCGATTATGGATATAAACGCGCATGGCTTTTGGTTGGTTAAGCGAACGCCCTGGTGAAAAAACTTCTTGCCCGAGAACTTTCTAGAAATCAATTGATACTTTGCTTTGATGTCATACTGCAACATACTTGGCCAATTGAACAATGCCTTCTCCATATTAGGGTTTTCTTTGGCAGGAAAATGAAGAGTCCATGTTTTGATCTTTCCATCCATTGGCTGATAAAACAAGTAACAAACACTTACCTAAACCATCTTTCAAGGTCATACGAAAATCTCTCTAACGTAGTAAAGAGATTAAAGCCCAAACATGAAGAATCCTAGCTATAAGCTGAGTGGATTTTCTCTACCTTTACAGTGAGGAGAAATCATCGAGAACTGAATCTTTTGTACAACTTTAAACAACACACGTTACTTGTTTGTACGAAGTTCAGTTATTTTAATGTGGAAAATCTTTACGTCTTTCAAAAAAAATATATATATATTTATTATATAGACACGAGTGTTTTACTGGAAAATATACCACTCGTAAAGCACATAAAAACTACATCCGGGACCTGAGTGGTTTATTTTCCATAATCTCACACGTGAGTTTATCGATGACGTAATTTCAGTAATTTCCTTCTATTATTTTATCGACGTCTTTTTGTCTATATAATAAAAAGAACATTACACGGCGGCTTGAAGATATGAATTTTATTTTCTTGCGGCAAAAACAATATTTTACTCACTCGCTGCGCTCGTTCGTAAAATATTGTTTTGCCACTCGAAAATAAAAATAATTCATATCTTCGCACCACCGTGTAATATCCTCTCTCTATATATTATTGATAATAATTGTAGTCAGTTAGCAAATCAGTTTAATTGTGAATTCTGATAATTATTTTATCATAACTGATTCAATGTTCCCATGTTTCCTATTACATGTATTCATAAGCCTGAATTTCAGCCCTCTCCTTGTTGAGTCGCAAACTCCTGAGAGATTCTCTCTTGAGACTTACAAGTTGAGTAGACAGCTGAAATTCAGGCTTATTAATATTCATTAATCATAGGAGACAGAGGAAATTCTTTGTTAAGGTCTAGAGAATGGATTTTGCCCACAACATTTCCACATTGATTGCCCATTTGCTATCCCTGTTTTGAATTGAGGTTTAGATTTATACATTTGCTCCGCAATGTGTGTTTCACTGTACACTGTAGGTTTCAGATGTAAAACGTGTTTGGAGCTTACGGCAGGCCCTCCTTCTGATGGATTTTGAGGACAATTCTTCAGAATCAATGAAGCAGCTTCTTCATCAGTGCATGATTCACCCAATGTACCTCAAGCTTGAAGAGGTTTGTGGAAGAACATTCAAAGCCCCTAATACATGTGTGCTCTGAAGGTTTTGTTTGCAGGCTACAGTCATGTATAATGCCAAGTGGACTGAATGATATCAGAGACCTTAAGATCAAGGTTTGGCCATCTTGCTGCAAATGGCAAATGGCGGTTTATGGTTAGCAGTTTGCCGTCAGCGGTCTGCCCATTTTTGGGACATTAACAATAAGATTCATGGAGAGGCAGTCTCCATGTTTGTTTTCATTCATTTGTTGACTTCTAGTTTTAATAAGCTGAGAATTGTCTTCAAAAGTGTGTTTCAATGAAAATGTAAATTAATAATGCAAAAGAGTTCTAATTAAAAAGCAGCATATCCTCTAAAACATGGGATTGTGATGTTGTAGGATGCAAAAATCCCTGCAGTAAATCACTTACCGTTAGAGTGTGATCTTGCTGTACAAACCTGAACCTCAATCCGCAAACCTGTCAGCAAAGCACTTGTCACATGACCTCTTGACGTTCGCAGTTGGTGGGAACTGCCAAAATCCCTTGATCTTAAGGTCTCTATTGTCATAGTTATCCTTTCTCAGTTGCATCCAGCTGTAACTCACTACAAAGAGTAGTTGTTATCACCAGTATTGTAAACTTGGCCCTGATTAATTGCACAACATACACTGTATTTATAGTCAATCTCTACTTAAAATGCCAGCTGCTAGCAGTTACAACTGAAGGTATACTGGTGTGGCTCATTAGACATGCTCTTAGAACTTAACTACAGTAGATGCTGGTTTATGTTCATTAGTATTTGCATTTTTTTTTTTAAGGGAAGACGTTTTCTCAGTTACTTGTTTGGATTGAACCCTGAATTATCAAAGGAGTTTCACAAGACAATAAAGAATCAGATTCCATCATGTGCTATGTAAGTTGAATAGTGCTCTTTATGGAGAGTGACTGACAATCAAAATACACTTCCAGGTTTAGCCAATTTCTTCTTACCTGTAAATTGATACAGCTAATTTTAATAGAGGCAGTGGAAATGCATGCATACCGTGTACATTAATCGCTTACTACAATGGAATCTCTTTTTGGGGTAACTTCTATTCAAGGGACACCTCCATTCAGAGGACACAAAATTTGGTCCCCCAAAAAATGTTCAAAACAATAATATTAATCTTTGTATTTTGTTACCGCGGTTGAAGGGGCACCTCTACTCAGGGGAAAGAGACAGTTTTTTGGGGTCCCAAAACCCCAATTTAACTTCCATTCACTTCAGGGGACACCTTAGCACTCAAAAAGTGACTGACCACAAAAATCATCAGTGAGTTTATATATATGTAAGTGTAGTCTAGTCACAATGGCATCGGCTTTCAAACCTTGAACAGTCACTTTAATATAAAATTGAAGTCCTGAACTTGTGGGAATTCAATACACAATATTGCAGAGATCAGTTAACCATAATTTGTATGCATTATCTAGCTGCTTGAAAAACCGTAAATCCTCTATTAATCCCCCTCCCTCTAATAAGCCCCTCTCCTAAATATTCCATTGTCTTTTCTAAATTAAATAAGCCTCTCCCCTTCTCTAATAAGCCCCCCCCCCCTTCCATCCACCTTAAACCCCTCAACTGGGCTTAATAACACTTTAATTTCAATAGGGTGCATAATTACAGTCCAACTTTACTCTCCCTTATGGCCCTATAAATATATAAAGAAAGAAAGAAAGAAATGAATAAATAAATAACCTCCCCAGGGGGCTTTATAGAGGATTTACGGTATTGACTGTAGCAGATTCTGAGGCAGAATGAAATAAAAATCTTTTATTTGTTGGTTAATTACTAACAAACCTTAGCCCAACCTCCATTCAAGGGACAGTTGCCTTGGTCCCGAGGGTGTCCCCTGAATGGTGGTTCCACTGTAATTTTTCAAACAGATTGTATAATATATAAATGTTTTCATTCATAGGAATGTGCTTAGTCTATATGGTGAAGTTTATTTCCGTGCATGGAGAGTTGCATCTGGACCATACTTAAAGGTTGTGTTTTTAACACCATATTATTAAGCCTTTGGTGGCGGCCTGCAAGTAGCAAAAATACCACCTTTTTCACTACATGTAATTCTTCTTTGGACTATTTTTCAGCTAATAATTATAATTGGCATGAGAATGGCTAAAAGTGAGTTTTGCAACAAAAAAAAAAAATGTTATCATGAATGCACAAAAGCCATAATTTGGACTTCCTTTTTTTTGGCAAATCTATTTTGATCTTTCTCTGTCGCTCATTTTTTTTCTTTTTTTTTTTTTGTTTGCTTTTCTTCTTTGTAAGCAGTTTTGTTGCCCACTTGATTGTCTTTCTTTTACGTGGAATTGTTACTGGCTAACTTTTTGGGAAAGGAACAAAGTTAATCTTCAAAGGGTAGTAGGTTAAAAGGGAAATTGGTGCGGGTGGACTTTTCCCGAAAACGTTACCTTTTTTGTGAGTATAACTCTGTTAGGATTGGTCAGAATATCCAAACCGAGGTATTGATGGAAAGGTCTATCTTTGCTCATTGTTGATTACCTGCTTATTAGCTTAAACTTAAAGCTAAATGGGCCCACGAAGGAAAATATGCATCATCCTATATGAAACGAAAATGACCAAAGCAGTCGTCACAAATGGTGAGACGTTGGAAAAAAAACCTACAGGTGCATGTAGATTTAATTACATGTAAATGTACATGCTTTGTTTGGTACTTACTGTGATTGTAGAGATGTCTTCAAATGTCATGTCATGCACAGATGTGTACATAGTACACCTTTGTGTGACAGCGTAAGTGCAACCATAGATCTAGAAATGACAGTGAAGATCTCTGTAAAAGAGAGCTGGCTGGTCAGCTTGTACAAGCTTGATGACTGACTGTTCCTAAAAATTTGACTAACTTATGTCTATAAAGGAACATAATTTTTATGCACAGTAGAGTGTGCCAAGAAAGTCAGAGTGGCAAGCTGTAGCCAGCATGTACTAGCCCAAAAGTCATTGATTCAACTAAAAATATATTTTTATCAGTATGATCAATATTACAATTCTTCTAAAATTACAGTATTCTTCTGGGAGTTGGCTGTGAAGACTCTTAGTTACTCTAACTCCCTTCTTTCATATAACTTTTAGTTTCTGTCTAATGAGATGTTACAGCTGTGTATCTCTTTACTTATTCATTTATTTATTTTTATTAACCTCTGTATTCATGCTGGAAAGTGAAAAAAAAAAAACTGACTTCTCCAATTTTCAGGTGAATTCCCAAAACTCTTCACTTGCCCACCCAGGCAAGTTTAAAACAGAATTCATCAGCCCGATACCAAACTGACGCTGAGACACCATAAATCATAGCTTAACTCCAGGTTCTTATACACACACTGCTGTGTCATCAGTTTATGAATTTGGGCTTAACAAAATAGTGCACTGTTGCCACATACATGATGTTCATGAGTGTAGTAGTAGAGTAAGTGTTATTCTGTACCATTTCAAGGTGTTGGAAGAGAATTGCTTTCAAGATCTGATGTATTCTGCAGTCCATGCCCAGCGCAGTGGAACTCAGTCCATGGCTTCAAGACTCCGAAAGGTCAGCTTGTAGTTAGTCTTGCAAACTTCTGTTCAAGTGTTTTTAATTTACTTCATTAATAACGATAGGCAGATGATAGGCAGAGAGGAGAGGCACTGTTGACAGATTTGTTATACTCCTGGGTCAAAATCTTTTGTACATGTATGCCTCAAATCTAGACATTGCAAGTAAATTTTGTTTCATTGATTGCTATTGTAATTTTTAGGTGTTGGAGTACTTTCATCAGCAAAAGAAGCAAAGAGGAGTTGATGAAGCTCTCCTCCGACTGTATCAACCAATAATATGGAGAGCATTCAAGGTTGTACAGACTACAACTCTTACATTTGTACATGTTATCAAGAACTTCTGTCACAGGGTTACAAATTCCTTTGTATTAGTAATAATACAATAATAATAATTTATTACTGTATCCTGAATGCTAAAATATAGAAACAAAAAACAAAAGCAAAAGCAAAAACAAAACAATGTGAGACAGGTCTGTGTACTATCTGTGTCACACCTGTATACTGAAACTTAGTAATTATATTTTACAAAAATATCAATATTGTTGTAACTTACACTTTTAAAGTTTGAACTCCTACTGAATTCCAAGAGCCTTTGACCACTAGCTATGGTAAATAATTGCATATTTCTTTTATTACTAGGTTGCAAACCCAATGGTTAGAGCCAATGCCACAGCTCTTTTGACAGATACATTTCCACTCCAGAATCCAGATGCTGGGAACGAAGAGATTGATGCACTTTTACAGAAGCAATTTGATATTCTTAAAGTATAAATGCATTAAGTGCTTTGTAAAATAGATTTGAATAATTATTGTCTTGCATGCTGTCACTACGGACACTTAAAACTAAATTAAACACATTTGCTTATTGTTTTTGATCGGCTAATGAACTAACAAAGACTGACACCTTTGTTACAAATATGATCTCTGATTGGACAATTGATATCTGGCAGCTGAGACTGAATCTGTTGCATTTAGAGACACCATAGCGCATGCCATAACCTTCAAAATACAGTGTTTCCAATTTTAATCCATCTTAAAAGAAAAAAAAGGAATGAAGCCTACTTGAAAGGCAACCAAGAAGTCAGGCGTGAACTACAAAATAAAACCATGTACTTCATCTACATGTAATCACCTTTTTTCTCAGAAGATTAATTTTTGTAAATAGGCCCACAAGTCTTGGTTGCCAGGAACTTTCCACATACTGTCCCTCAGTCAATCTGCTGAGGATACATGTCCTTTTCATTTTATTAGACCTACGATGCATGCCTGCCTACAGGTTGCTCTCTCCTTACTTTGTCATACGCATTTATAAATTCACGAATAATAAACTAAGGCTTTTCTATTTTTGGCCTTAATCATCGCTATAACAAAATTCTCACATCTGATTGGCCATGAACTGCCCTGATTTCAGCACTAACAGGACAGTGTAATAGGACAGTATGAGTCATGCCTAAGTAACTGGACAGTACACGATTCCACACTTCCTTTTTTTTCTTTTTCAATGCTAGCAAAAAAACTGTCAAAATTTCTTGTGTTTTGTTTAAAAAAAAAATCTAAAATATCACAAATTTTGTTATCGTTATGATTACTTGGTGACAGAACTTTGTGTCGTCCAATTCAGTCTGTAATCGTACTCGTGATTAAACAAATCGGACTCCACACTCGTATTATTACAGACCGAATCGGCCTCCACTCAGTCCTATTACCATTGTTTATCTGTTTCTCTCTTCCTCAGGACTTGTTAGAGGACCCATGTCCCACTGTCAGAGCCACTGCCATTCATGGTGTGTGTCGCATCACAGGTGTATTCTGGGAACTTATTCCAGCGCATGTCATTAAGATGTTCCTAACAACACTGGTAAGAGCTTGATATTAAACAACGATAAACTTCAAAGGAGCTTTGTTGTGGAATTTTTGAGGAGTTTTTTTGTTGTTCCTATTGTTTTTGTGTTTGGTTGGTTGGATATGTTTCTGGTTTTGATCAGCTGTAAGCTTTGTTCAAATTTTCTTTGCTCTAATTCAATAACAATAACAACTGTTTTATTCAGATCAATGAGCTGGCTTTCGACACATCCTCAAGTGCTGTGAGAGTGGCAGTTTTTCAGGTAAGCTTTTGGTTACTTAAGTACAATGTTTCATGAATTTCTGCTGTAAATGTTTAAAAGAGCCAGCTTCTTTTTAAAGTTTTTTGAGCAACTGCACTTGTATCGTGTCCACTAACTACAGGTTCGTTTTACTTGTGATAATTATGGGAAGAAACGTTTAAAACAAACTGAGCTGTTCGTCTGCTAGTCTGCTACACAGCCGTTTTTAGTGTCGTCACGCAATTCTCGTCCACAAACAGTGTTTTATGGGGAGGAGCGTTGCGTAACGACACTAAAAATGGCTGTGTAGCAGACTAGTCGTCCGCCAAATACAGGGTGTATCACCTCCTCAATATTGCTATAACGTACTCCTGCATCAAATGTATGTGTATTCGGACCTGATATTCTGTGTTTTCCTTGTCCTCACCTGAGGTAGGATTTTCTAAGGGGAAAAAATGAAGTCGAAAAGGGGTGCATTTGAACTTACTCAAGGCCGCGTGACCAACAATCAAACAAAAGTAGTCCCAATTAGTCTAGGGATATAACAAGCATATTTTTTTAACTGACCTTTTGTTGACTTAGGGCCATAACTTGATGTCTATTTTATCTTGTTATTTTTAAGGGTTTAAAGTTTGTGCTGGACAATCGTCTTAGTCATCCACTCCTGAAGCCTTTGCTGGGTAATCTGCAAGATCTGGTGCATGATACAGCTGAGAGAGTGAGAGTGGCTTTTCTTGATGTGTTGATTCTTGTCAAAGGACTAAAAGCAATCAAGGTTTGTAAAGCCAAAAAAGACATTGTTTTTCTAGTAAAATATTTCTTGAAGTAATTTTTGAGGGGAGGATCAAACAAAACGGGCGCGCACTCACAAAGATAGCCGCCTGCCTCTTACCCAGGCGTTTCTAGGTATTTTTTGCGGTAGTCGCAGCGCAAAGGGGTCATGGGAACGATGAAAATTGGGAAGCTTCGTTTCTTACGCTCAGCCTTCCCTTGTGCCTTTGCGTTTTTGAAGCTTTCCCATGATTCTTGTGCCGCGATTACCGTCGAAAATCGCAAGAAGCGCCTGGGTACTAGGGAGAAGAGCGGAGGAAATTGAGCCTATTAAGAAGGTGATCTACTAGCTATGTAGCTATGAGGGCAGCAATGTACAGAGAAAATAAGATAACTGTGTCTTCACTTGTGAAGGATGGTGCTAGTTTGATTCCATTTGCCTCGTGTATCATTGTAAATTCTGTAATGTTTTGTGTAATTGTTATCTCATATCGGATTTCTCGTTGTCAGTTGCACCGTGTTTTTTTTTTAACCCACTTTTTCGTAACAGGATATCGTATGAAATACATTCTTGTGTTTGCTATAATCATTATTTAACGGTTTGGTTTATTATTGTGTTTACAGTTCTGGAATATAGTACCCTTAGAACAGTTGCTTTCTCAACTGGAGGTGGAACAATCTGCAGCGGTAATCCGAAGAATTGTGAAACTACTCGTGAATTCATTTCACCCCACAGGCAAAGGAGCCGACACACAGGTTATTGGTAACATTAACATCTCTTTGCATAAAAAAACAGTGAGGAGCTTCTACATGAACCTGATTTTAGGGCCTGTTTACATGGAGGTGGGGGACCCCAGGTAGGTGAGTTTACCCGCCTGTCCATATAATCTCTAGAGATTATATGGACAGGCGGGCTAGCTCACCTGCCTAGGGTCCCTCCCTCCATGTAAACAGGCCGTAAGTCAGAGTTTATTCTAATATTTTGAAAGATCATCTCATTTTGAATTCTTTGTTTTATACCGTTTGTTGAAGGTAACGCGCTGTTCAGCGCTATGGCAGTCCAATCCTGTGGCAGCCAGGAAGTTCTACCAATATGTACATCTACACTCAACAGTATCAGCAACAGGTTGATTTATAGCGAGTACTTTTATAATTCATAAAAAAAATCTTGTCTTATTTAAGGCTTTTAGTAGTAGAGATTTCTTTGAAGGGCTATTATTTTAATGGGAAACGCCCAAAAAGTTCGTTGTTGTCGATTTTCTTTTTGTGTCTGGAGGAGTGCATTTTTAGCGTTATTTACGGTAAATAGCGACGATTCTTAGAGGTTCAATAGGCCATTTCCGAGTTCCCCCGGGCCTCTGTATCAAAACGAGGTTAAGTGCTCAGCCTTCGATACGGAAAAATTTTCATTCTCATACAAATAAAACTCATTTTCACAAGAAAGGTTGTGCACTTGGCCTCATTTTGAAAGTGAGGGTTTTTGGGTCTTGGAAGTGGCCTATTGACTGNAAAAAAATCTTGTCTTATTTAAGGCTTTTAGTAGTAGAGATTTCTTTGAAGGGCTATTATTTTAATGGGAAACGCCCAAAAAGTTCGTTGTTGTCGATTTTCTTTTTGTGTCTGGAGGAGTGCATTTTTAGCGTTATTTACGGTAAATAGCGACGATTCTTAGAGGTTCAATAGGCCATTTCCGAGTTCCCCCGGGCCTCTGTATCAAAACGAGGTTAAGTGCTCAGCCTTCGATACGGAAAAATTTTCATTCTCATACAAATAAAACTCATTTTCACAAGAAAGGTTGTGCACTTGGCCTCATTTTGAAAGTGAGGGTTTTTGGGTCTTGGAAGTGGCCTATTGACTGTGGATTCCAGCGGACTATTTGAGTCGGTTATTGAAAAGGAGAATAGCCCACGTTTTAGAAACCCGCGTTCTCAACGGAATTTCCGCTTTCTCAACCCTAATATCTAAACGCTTTTTATATTGAACAGTTTCCTGAAAGCGTCGAGTTTATCTTTATGGAAATCGTATGACTTTTTTAAACCGCGGCTTGAATTAGACTTTTTTTTGTCAACCGACCTTTATTCTTCGTGTTTTACAAACTTACTTTTATCCTACTTTACCTCGGAGTAGTTTACAGAATAAAGTACTTTTTCTTGAGAAAAATATTCAAAGTGGCAGCTGTTAAGTTATTATTCCGAAGTACTTACAGTCCCCGTAATATTGGCAGCATATGGTAAATTATATCTCCCTGCAACGGAAACAGACATGAAAGTCGGTAAACCAAGTTATCTCATAAAAAGTATGTGCGTGTGTTAAGAGTTAAAAGGATGTTTTCTATAAATCTTTTTGGGTCAGGTGTATTCAAAAGGTAAGGTTTCACAGCTTGTTGGTTCATTTGTTTGTCCTTGGAAACGTGAATAACTTGTTCAATAGTTATGTTTTATGTACTCTTATTTTTATCAATCATCATATCTTGTTCGCTCTGTAGGAAAGTTTATGGTCTGTCTTTGTCATTGCCTTGTAAAGTTTGCACAAAAAGGAGGAGATGAAAGTAACATATCTTTCGAATCTGAAAGCGAAGGTTTGTTCATTTCGTTTTCATTTGTTTTAGTTCAGTGTTGTGTTCTTTTGTTCTGTTTGTTTGTTTTTTGCTTGTTTTGTTTGTTTTTGTTTGTTTTTGCTTGTTTTGATTCCAAAAGTTGCATAGCAGCGAAAAAGTTTTCTGACAGAGAAAGAGTTCGTTTCGACGTCATTTTTCCCTTTTGTATAGAAAATCCTACCTCAAGCGAGGACAAGGAAAACACAGACAGTGCTGCAGCGAATACAGATACATTTGATGCTGGAGTTTTAGCGGGGATGGCTGAAACAGTTGCTATTTGCTGGGGAGGTATCAAGGACAAATTAGAGAAAGTAAGTTCTCTGTTTGTGTAATGACTGTTGCCTCAAGGTCTGCTAAGACTAAAGCACTCAATCTTTCGACAGGCAGGCGCTATTTTTTCCCCGCGTTTTTTCAGGCGAGCTCGAAGCGGACGTGGAGCACAATGTACCCGCTATCTCGCGCTTCACGTCCGCTTCGTGGTCGCCTCTCGCCTGAAAACGCAACATGCATCGACTGCATCTCACATCTTTATCTGCTACGGGTATTACGTATTGCATTCTTATTGAGTATTACACATCTTTAATCCAAAGGGTGGAAACGAATCGACAAAGACCAAGCTAGTTGAGAAGTTCACAAAGGCTCTTCCCAAGCTGTTTGGAGGATTAAAGGTGACTATAACTTGCAGAAGTGTTTCGCTTCTAGTAATGTTTTACTGTTTACAATGTCCTAGAATTCTTTGAGTTCCAGCCTTACATCGCCCATGCAAGATTGACGATTTTGTTAGTCGTGCGTGTTTGCTCTGTTTAGGGAGCTTAAGCAACAACGATGGCGACGACGTCGAAAACGTCACTTAAAGGGTGAACTCGCGCTGTTTCAAACATTATCGCTCTCATTCCATTTCGTTGAAATTTTCTTTTTCTTTTCTTTTTTCTTTTTTCCTTTTTTTTTTTTTTCACCTTTGGGCGAATTTTTTCTGGAGTTGAGTTCTAAAGGGTCGTATGTAAGTTAAGAAAACGAAAACGAAAACCGTTGCCTTAATAATGATAATTTAATCTTTAATATGGAAGCCAATATCACTGACAAAGTGGTTTACAAAGTGGTCTTCTTATAATAAGACTAAACTATTTAGCTAAAAAATAATAATTGTGTTATTAATATAAAAATTAGAGGAAGTTGCCTGATGACTGTGCTTCTACAATTTCGGACCATACGAAACAGTACTGTCGCAATAAACGATCGATGATTACTCCTGAAGCCTGAACTCCTGTGATTATTAAAAGTCAATGCTCTTCAATTAAATGAATTGAGTGCTCTACGAAATACGTTCTACCCAGAATACAAGTATTTATATATACATTTCAATATAAAATGCACCGTAACACAATAAAAGTACTAGTACAGTGTAAAATGTGAAAAGTTCTACAATGCAAGATAGAAATATGAATTAAAATTTAGCTTTAGATAAGCTGCGCTTAAAAGCTGCTAAGGAGGGCGTTTGCCACCTTCTAGAAGCGGAAGATTTACGGATATTATGCTTAGATCTGTAAAGGTTTCCAACGGAGCCGTCTTCGTTGGTTAAGCTCCCTAATATCAGGTCGATAAAAACTGAGGCCAAATCTGAAATAAAGACTATGCGACATTTGACACAAGGCTTGCGAGCTTACCTTATACCTCACTCAATTTTCAACTGGAATTTTTTAGTTTATTTTAATTTACTGTTATGTTATACGTTTTATTTTATTTACTCCGTTTTTCTATCTAACAGCACCCTCGTATTCAAGCAGCGTGTTTAGTTATCGCTGGTTTCTTGCCCTCGTCATCTCTGCCTGCTTTCAGGTAAATACAGTTACTGCAGGAAAAGAAAAACACTATACATGACCAACGAAGATAAAGACGATTAGACGTCTACGGCGCGTTAACTTAACCACGATTTAAGAAATATAAACTGAAACGTTTTGAAGGCTACTTTCCAGTACAGTTGAGATTGTCGTGCCCGTTTCTAATTGTCATCTTAGTTCGGCAGTTCTTAAGAATAAAACCCCACAAACATTGTAGAGGCTCAATGGCCGTTTTTACACTAGAGACGGATAATCCATCTTCAAAATCCGTCAAATTGGACGGAAAAAACAGATGGATAAAGCCAAGCGGATTGTCCATCCAAAATTAGGACCATTCTCTTTTGAAATTAAAACGTATTATCTGTTTGACTCGAATTATCCAACGGATAACCCGTTTCAAACGGACAATCCGTCTCTAGTGTGAATATGGCTAATGTTGGTGTAACTCGGGATGATTGTGTAATTGTGTTTCTAGTGCCAAATGCTTGTCATCTCTGTCCTCTCTGCCTGTTACCACTCCAAATACGGAATACGGCCCCCTTCTGAACTGTTTGTGCGCCTGGGACAAAACCACCGATGTACTCGAGCTTATAAATGAGTGGATTGTAGGTGGAATGAATGGACCACCTAAAGATCCGAGAACGGTAAGCCGTGAAGAATAAACAAAATATTTAGCAATTATTGAATTCGGCTTTCGTAGGATGTGAAGAATTATGGAGATCTAGGAGGATGGTTATTCACCGATGCTGAAGGCCGAGGTGGATAACATCCCCGAGATCTGCCTAATTCTTCACATCCTACGAAGGTTGAATACAATAATTGTTTTATTATCCAGTCAAAATTTTTTTAAGTTTCTAGCATTACCGCCTCGTAGACTTCTTCAAACCTTTGGACAATTTCTCGGTACTGTTAAATAAATAAAATCCGTCGTGCGATATGTCTGGCGTATTCTTGTATTTCTTCCGTTCAGATTTAGTTAGAAATCAGCTATTTCGTCTTCGGATAGCCGTGAACGCTATTTGTTTTAGTTCACTCGTGAATAAACCGCTTGGCGTCGTGATGATGGTCTATTGCCCTAGCAGCCTCGTTTCCAACGTTTCCAATCAATTATGTCATGGATCAACCACGTTTCCAATCAAATATACCTTCGAATCGATGACATATTGCTCGCATCTTTCAGATATGGTATGCGCCAGTTAGTTATGACCTTAATTATTCCGGATATCATAAAACTTCATCCAATAATTAAAAAAACTGTCTTTTTGATAAAATGAATAGTTTATTTCGTACTGCGTCATTTATATCCGTTACCGCCCTGGCTGACGCGGAAAAAACACCTTAGCAAAGAGGGACTTTTGTATGTTTATGGTGGGATAAAAATTCATTTAGATTTTGTTGTATCCAGGGGGAAAGGACCGGAAGAAAGAAGAAATCAGTGGCCTTTCAACTCCCCGTGGAGAATAAGCAAATGTTGGCTTTGGAATTCCTTTCTTGGCTAATGGTAAGCACAAACATCAACATCAAACTACTGCTAGAGAATTTCGAGCACTTAGTTTACTTTGATTTTTTTGTCTCTGATTGGTTGTTCTTGTTGTTCTGGTCTTTATTTCTTCTTATCGCCAGGGTGAGCCTACATGTCGTACAGCAGTCCAGGGGTATCCTGAAATTCTACGGCAGATTACTGATAATTTGAGAATGACAATGGTGAGGCAATTTACTGAATTTAGGCAGGTGTAGGGTTGAGGATGGTGGATAATGGAGGAAAGGAGTGAATGGAGTAATAGAGGGGTCTGAAAATGCTAGAAAGCACATTGCTATATAGTTGAACATATTTCCCCAACAGCGCGCGCTCCCATTCGTTACTTCGAGGTTCCATGGCATCTAGCATTAAAACAGTTTCCCGCCAAAAGTTTTCGAGAAGAAAACATCGTGAAATCTGTGAGGTCAAGAGGTAAACGCGAGCGTTGACTTTCTGGCTGAAATTTACTTGTAGACGTAGAAGTTTCTCTTCTTACGCTTTTATAAAAATTTCATTTTGTTTCTCTCGACTCGAGTATCAATGGTTCCCTCCTTTCCCCTTCATTTACATGTTGATATTTTCCTTTAGGCAACTATCGAGTCTCGTCTTTCACCGAGTCGGCCAACACCTGAGCCTTTGACGCAAAGTGAAGTGGAGTTCTTTCACAAGTCATTTGAAGCGTATTGTCTTACAGAGATCCATTTACACCACATGGTAAGCTTTCGCATTGGTGGCTAGAATTGTAAATGAATTGTAATTTGTTTATCCACGAAGCACTTAGGAGTTCTTAAGAACATCTGTGATCGTGTCCGTACGTTCCAGATCGAATTGGAATTTGGAAGCGTTGGTTTTTGAGGATTTTGTCTACAGTGTTATTAAATTGTGCATGAGTGTAAAACGGTTTTGTGCCGAATTGTACCATTGGAATTTTTCCGGAAATGGACTATAGGGGAATCCTGGTTTACATTTTTTGCCTCATTATCATAGGCTTATCATTATCTATAATGAAGCTAATAAAATGAAAATTCTGAATATTGAAAGAGCATAACAATTTCAGTTATCTCTGAAAATTTGAGCCCGATATGCCAAATAGTTTCGGAGAAATTCCATTTGAAAACCCAAAAATTTACAAAGAATGTATGAGCTCATTAACCGTTTGCCACCCAGTAATTTTGCACCTTTTAATTGCTGCTATTTTCTTTGATACTGGTTGCAAAGGGCTGAAACTTGCACAAACTGCATAACTTAACCAGCTCTTTTAATTTTTGCACCTGGTTGGTATACAAGGCCACATCTTCTATGGATTAATTCGTATGCTAATGAGCAAAAATGTAAACAATGACGTCACAATGAATCCGCCTATTTTAAAAAGAAGCGTGTGTCCAAAACAGTCCCAGAGTGCATTTCGACTCATTCCAGACCTATAGTCTCATGGGCAGTTAGGTCCTACTAACGTTCTGGCTCCTCGACAGGTCAAGTACACTTTAGATTGGGCTCCCATTTCTTTGAGCCGTCAATCAAATTAATACTTTGCAATGGATTGTTCTAGGAAAAGAACGAAGAGTATGGTGGCGCTATGGCTGCTTTGGAAAATGTCCTCGTCTGGGCTGACAGGGTTTTACTACCAGCAATCAGCTCTGAAGGGTTTGTTTGTGTTTGTGTTTTTTGTTTGTTTGTTTGTTTTGTGTCTTTTGATGTGTTATTGCATTGCATGACAAAGATCCAATGATCTTGGCACTTTTTTTTTTCTGTATTGACCATCGAAAAGTTCCAAATCGTCTACAGAACGTTTAATCGTCGACTTTTTTCGAAGTGCATGCTTACATGGGGAATGTATGACCACAAAAATCAAAACCACTCACAAAGATAACTTTTTAGTGATCCTCATCAGTTCGCTCCTATCGTCCCACCACTACACGCTCTGTCGGGTAATTCATTAATTTTTATTTCATGATACCCAGATCCGAGCGAGTGAAAAAAAAGAAGGTCGAAGGACGAGCTCCTAATTTCGACTTCACTGAACTTTATTTTTTCACGGTGACATATACGAGACACGCGGAAATATGACACTTTTCGCGTGAAACAAGCCGTTCTATTCACAAATCTACTCAGTAAAGAGTTTACTCAAGAAATCAGTGGAGATAGAGGCTAGCTCCTAGTGATAAGGCTCCTGTCCTTTATCATTTACATTGTATTTCAATACCAAAACGCCTCCTTTGTCGGTGGCTTAAGGTGTGGCAATAGATTTAATAGGCAATAGATTTACCAGATAATGTAAGCTACAAAATGAACGATTGTAACACAGTAAGATAAGATTGTACATCTCCACCAACATTTTGTCTGTCGTTCTCCCATTTGTTCTTATTACTTAGGAATTGTCTCATCTCCCTTCCATCGGAAGCTAAGAGTGCTAAACGAGTTCTTGAAGAAGGACATTACTCCAGTTCCCTTGTGGTGCAACTTGTAAAGGTATACTGGATTAACTAACAACTTAAGCCCCAAGGTCCAAATACAAATTCTCCACACTAGTGTCCATACATTGCGTCATAGAATTAGTTGAGAGAACTTGATAAAAGATCAAAGCATTTCGTTTGTGTTGGTCATTTTATTAATTCTCCTAACCTTTTCTATTGATGATGTTTTGATATAGTTAGGAGAAAATTGATGTTGATCACTCTTGGGACTTAAAGGGTTGACCAATGCCGACGCTCATTTGTATTTCGGAGAAGAACTTTTCATTGTAGAGTTTTCTATCTGGTATAGCATTGTAAGATTGAGAGGATGAGAGAACAGATCTCTTTGATATTTTGCCGCAATAAGTGTGATGAATAGATTTCTCACCCAAAACTGTTAAGTTATGATGCTTGCCACGGTTTTGGCGTTAAAACACGCATAACCCTTTAATGGCATGATTAACTAAACGTCGCCCGCGTGACCGGCGTTCGGGGAAGGGGGAAGGGAGGATTAGGTAAGCACGTTAAATCCGGAATGCCCCAACAATCGCGCTTGCATTAACCCTTCCCCCACCGTCCCTTTGTACACTGGCCGCGCGGACTAGGCTGTAAGAAATCGACCTTAAATGCAATGTGTCGTTGCGGCGACACGTTGCAGATATTTACAACATGGACAAGCGAGTATCCTAAGAACGGCGTGGTCGCTGCTTTTTCATCTTTTCAGCAACATGTTTGTGCTTGTGTTGAGTCGTATTTTTTTTTTCGTAGACAATTTTGACTTGTTTAAGTGAGATGGTAATGCTTGGATTAACACAAGAAAAGTTTTACAACCACGCAGCGTTGTTCACAACGTCTCTTGCTAAACTAGGTGAGCTGTTTCGCGTTAAGCTTTTTTCAAGCTTTCTTATGAAAAAGCATATTAAATTACAATTAATATCCAACAGTATTGATAGGTGGGCGAGGGCCTTAAAGCAGCAGTGTCCCATTTCGACTATGTCCACATCATGGTCCGTACGTTCTTGAAAAGGTCTTGAATTTTAGTAGTTGTGTTGAAAAGTCTTTGAATTCGGTCAAGGTCCTTGAAAAGTACTTGATTGATTTTTTAGGTCTTCAAAAATCTTTGATATTCACTACCTTGTCTAAAAACATTTTTGTACACGAGCAGTATCTTACTTCTGTTTCTTTATTCTAAATTCTGTTTCTGTACTTCAGATGCAATTGCGAGTCATACCCAGTCATTTTCCAAAGCGTTGTTGCGGAAAGTAGTGTAAAATAATGTGATCAACCATGGCTGAAGAAGTAAAAACCGTAAATGACTCCATGACGTGCTTTAGGCAGTAAGGTGTTCAAAAACGAGTTAAAGAGTGCGGACTTATTGCATAAATCGCAGTCCTTGAAAACTGTAATTTGTCCTGGAAAAATCCTTGAAAAATCCTTGAAATTTGGGATCAATTTAGGTTTCAGGGAAACTGCCCACCTACCCCTCCCCTAAGCCATCATTTTGCCCTAAGTGAGAAGTAAGTGGAGATCTGGGTACGAGATAACCTGTGCAGTAAACGGGTTTATCTGATGCGCCCTGTACAACATGCAGCGCCCGACTCAAGTTTTATCGCTACGGCTTAAATGCGTAGTTATTTCTACATCAGTGTTAGCAGCTTAGTTTACTTAAATGCTTAAAACAGTTATCTTTGCCCGCGTCGAAAAGCACACAGCGCATCTCCCAATTCATTGTAATGTTTGATATATAATGAAGAAACCTTCTTATTTTCTTTGCTGTTGGTCTTTAAATTCTCCAAAATCCGAGATCGTTTGTCGTGGAATTTCAATTACTAGACCATGATATGGACGAAGAGACTTTTTTGTCTTTCACTCCTTATCTTTTAGAGTAATTTTCTTTATCTGTCAAATAGGCAGACCTAGTATACAACTACGCTTATCAGTACTTAATTTCATGTTTTTTTTTTGTTGTTTACCTGTAATTATTTGGCACCTATTGTTAGATATTGTTTCACGGGCTAAATAAAATCATTCTAATTCAGAGACTAAACTCTGGTGTCAATTAATAATTAAGGGATTTCTTACTCAACAGGTTATAACGCAGTAGAGTTTCTACATCAGCTTGCTAAAGTCTTGTATCAGATTGCACTGAGTGTGGTCCTGAGTAACGGTAAGTTAGATACCTCTAAAATATAGCTATCTCATGCGCCCGAATTTCTCATTGTGGTGATTACTGTATGTGTATCCACTTATAGGTCTTTGTTTATAAATTAAGATCTATAGGTAACTTTTATTGTCTATAAAAAATTAAAGGCATTCGTGTTTTCTAATTCCCTCGTCCAATCCCGGGCAGAAACGTTTCTATTCTTATGGGGGACATTTACTCCATCTGGTACTACTTCACCTAGGGTCTACCAATTAGAACATGACGATCGCTTAAAATTTTAACAAACTGTGTCAAGTAATATTCGAGTATCTCTGACATTCCTAAAGGGTGTTTACTTTTTAATGATTGGCTTTGCTATGGATGTAATCTTGTGCATACTTTACTATAACACCCTTAAGCGAGGGAATGTCACTTACACTTAAGTCTATGTTCATGCTTTACTGAATAGAGAGGTTTTAGCATCACGTTTACGTCAAACGGTAAACGCGAGTTTGTACCACGTGACCAAGTTTCCCCTTTACTTGTCGTTTACAGTTCATTATTTCTGCAAATAAATTAGTAGTTTCACGCAATTTTTTATCCATAAGAATTTTTTTGTTTGAGCTGTTTTTATCTGCTCATTTTCTATTTTGAGAAACTCTCAACTTGAATCTGACGTATGCCGTTTGCCGTATACGTGAAGCTTAAACTCTCCAGCAGCTTTCCGTACCACCACCAAAAGCTATCCAGTATAGTATAAACACCTATCCGATATGTGACTCTCCACTTTAGAGATCGGCGCGGGGCAGCTTCGCTCCGTTACCGAAACCGCGCCGCCACAACCGTTCTCGTGTGTGAATAGAAGCGTTATCCGGTATGTGGTTTTCGTGGCGCCACCAAAAGCTATCCAGTATAGTATAAACACCTATCCGATATGTGACTCTCCACTTTAGAGATCGGCGCGGCGCAGTTTCGCTCCGTTACCGAAACCGCGCCGCCACAACCGTTCTCGTGTGTGAATAGAAGCGTTATCCGGTATGTGGTTTTCGTGGCGCCACCAAAAGCTATCCAGTATAGTATAAACACCTATCCGATATGTGACTCTCCTCTTTAGGGATCGGCGCGGGCGCAGTTTCGCTCCGTTACCCAAACCGCGCCAAAATCACCGTTTTCATGTGTAAAATAGAAGCCCTATCCAGTATGGTTTTCGTGCCGACGCAAAAGCTTTCCGGGCTCAATCACACAGCCTCAATCACTCACTCTCTCGCTTTTTATAGAATCAGGGAATGTTAATCTTCGAAGTGGTCCAGTGTCCACTATTCTACAAAATTTGCTGGAAATTCTCCTTGCATGTGAGACAGATGAAGTTGATGTTCTGACTCAGGTCAGTATGGGTTGCAAGACCACTTAGATCTTACAATTAATATGTCTAGAAACGCATCAGCAAAGAACTTTCACAAGCGAGGGGTACATGCCTTTTACTATTGCAATGCAGTAAGCTTATCTCCCAGTCGAAAGTGATTTCGCCATTGCTGTGTTACCTTTTGATGTCTTCCTTAGCTCCCGTTTATATAGAAAAAACGTGTCCCGGGTAGAAGGAGTCACTCGCTTACCCGAGCTACCCTGGGCGAGCCAACATTTCCTTTTGACATTTCCGAACAAACCGTTTACATGAGAAAAATGTTGGCAGAGCGGTTGAGGTTTCTGTGAAACGGCCCACCTACCCCTCCCCTAAGCCAACATTGACCCTTACTTCTCACTTAAGGCAAAATGTTGGGTTAGGGTAGGGGTAGGTGGGCTAGTTGGCTCGGCTAGAAGTGTGACCCGCCTACCTGGGTTATTCTTTTGTTCGGTGGTACGGTCACCTTCCTAACTGGGCCAACCTTTCTCCATATAAGCTCGCCCAGCCGTGTCAATTAGGTCAAAACGAGACAATCAGAGCATGCGCGAGCCCTTTTGTAAGCTCTTGGCTCGAGCAAAGGGAAGAAATTGTTTTTGTTTTGTTTTTTTCTCATATGAAAGTTCGATAAAGTGGACCCGGCTGGGAGGGTGGCTCTCTTTTCCGGGGCAACTTTTTTATAGACGGAGCCGTACACGCATCTATTTAGCATACGTTTTGATTAAAATCTAGGTATACACACTGACTTGAGTTCACTAAAACGTTCTTTATTTGTCGCAAGTAATGAAGTAAATCTGTACTCGAGTTTATTGTTTTGTTGTTGTTGTTTATTGGTTTGTTGGTTTGTTATTATTATTTTATTATTATTATTATTATTATTTTATTATTATTATTATTATTATTATTATTATTATTATTATTATTATTATTATTATTATTATTATTATTATTATTATTCTCATTGAAACACCATGAAACTTTTATACGTTTCTGGAAATCTGCGCACCTACCCTTCCCCTAAGCCAACATTAACACTTACTTCTCACCTATGGCAAAATGTTGGCTTAGGGGAGAGGTAGGTGGGAGGTTTTCCAAAAACGTATAATGATCCAAACTTATTTGGAAGGTATGCACCCAACCTAGAAAATGCCTGTTGCTAACTTTTTAGTCACGAATTGTACCCATCAATTAATTTTAGTCTACTTCCCCCAGCAAAATAGGTCGTAATTCATTACCCTTATGTGCCCGAATTAGCACCAGACTCTCTATTTGTAGGCCCTGTTAGCTGTTCGTCCTGCTTTGGCAGAAGTCCTTCTACTTACAGAGGTTAGAAGACGACGTGTTGGAACAAATGCAGGTCTTATGGGGCCCCTCCTGTCTGCGGTGATAAATAACATCAAACAGCAGGTACATAACTTTGGAGGAAGGCTGTTAAGTTCCCAAGGGGGTGTGTACATGAGAAAACTCGCATCGGCGCGAGTTTCATACCGGAATTACTTTTTGATTTCGTATCGCGTTTACATGATGACTAGGTCATTTCATATCTCGTTATTTGAAGGTACACTTCATGCTGATAAAATACACGTGTGATTCAAAATCGCAAACATCACGCATGCGATACCAGTTCCAGTCTACCAGCAGACCGATTTCACACCGAAACGGGTGGTCGTTTCGCGTTTAAATGATACCGTTGCGAGATTTCGTACTGGAGTGAAATTCTCGCCCTGGTACAACAACCGGGGTGAACTCACGCCGGGGTGACCCTCGCCGGCATGACATTTTGTGGTGGTATCATATAAACAAATATAGAGCCATGAGCAGACTCAGCTGCAGCGACCGAGCGAGCGGTGAAGTTTCGAGGTCGACTTGTTTCGCCTGAATGGATTTGAATCATGTTATAAATTCACGCGGGAAAAAGAATGACTGACATATGCTGTGTCGGGAGCGACGTGAAATATCATTCACTGTCCTATTGGTCAATTATCATGACGTCACCGGTAGAATTCTTGACCGGTGAATTTTGTGCCAAACAGTTATGGAAGTCCTTTAAGAGTCATTGTCAGAGAAAACCGGGCGGTGCCAAAAGATTGGGGTCAGCCCATTTCCTTTATTTTTTTAGCATTTAAAACCAAGCTGATAAGATTAACTTTGGTGACATTAAGAAGATTTCCCGGCGTTTCACTCCCGAGATTGACCACCCCCCTAGTTTTTGGCCAAAGGAAACCCTAAAAATCGTTCTCATTCCATTTCGTTAATTTTTTTTTTTTTTTTTTCAAATTTTGACGAAATTTTTCTGGTTGTCATTTTCAATCGATTCATCGTATACATGTGGACAGGCGAAAACGATGCCAAAACGCTACGAGTGGACGCGAATTTTTTTTGAAAATGGAGAAAAAAAGGTTGCGTTTTCAAACGAATACGGATACTTGTGGACAGGGCCTAAACCTATTGCTTTTTTGCCGTTCGCGTGTCCGTCGCCATCTTCGTCGCTTAAGGTGGCTCGACTGGATTTTTTTTTAGGGGGATACCTCCCAGGTTTGAGCGTTAACTACGTCGGCATGAGTAAAGATATGGAAAAAAGGTTACCACAACTGTATTACATAAAGATGAAAATTTCTTATGATCTGGGTTTTATTGCCTTCGGAGTAACTATGGCAACGTAATGACGCCATTACGTTTTTTATTTATCTATGTGTTTCTCTGTACCAGGAGTTTTTGGAAGAAATCGCTTAAGAGAGTATGTATCTGCCATAATTGCCTCCATTATGGCAAAGTTTGAACAAATTCTATGAGAGCGTTTTCGAAATATTTTGAAAAGCAGTTTTAAGAATCATAAAAACAGTGAAATAGCATGCTAGCTACACATTTCGCTAATACTTTAAGAAAATGATAAGCTTTGGTAACGCTGCTTTAGTGGTTTGATTCCATTGAAAACTGCATACAAAAAAAGAGGGGAATTACTCTGGGCGATCGCGAGTAAGAAGAAACTACGTCCAAAAACTGTATCAAAAGCAACTGAATGCAAGTTAATAAAATTCTTCTTACTCGCGATCGCCCAGAGCAATTCCCCTCTTTTCTTGTATGCAGTTTTCAATGGAATCAAATCACTATGAGATGAAGCTGCGTTACCAAAGCTTATCATTTTCTTAAAATATCAGCGAAATGTGTGGTTAGCATGCTATTTCACTGTTTTTATGATTCTTAAAATGCATTTCAAAATATTTCGAAAACGCTCTCATAGAATTTGTTCAAACTTTGCCATAATGGAGGCAATTATGGCAGGTACATACTCCCTTAAGCGATTTCTACAAAAAACTCCCCGTACAGAGAAACACAAAGATAAATAAAAAAACGTAATGGCGTCATTACATTGCCATGGCGACTCCGATTGCAATAAAACCCAGATCAAAAGAAATTTTCATCTTTATATAATACAGTTGTGGTAACCTTTTTTCCATATCTTTACTCATGCCGACGTAGTTAATTCCCAAACTTGGGAGGTATCAACCCCAAAAAATCCAGTCGAGCCACCTTAAGTTCCTTAGTATCAGGCGGATAAATACTAAATTTGAACCGACCGAGTTTTTATCGACCTGATATCCTTATCCTAATATCAGGTCGATAAAAACTCGTTGGTCGGTTCAAATTTAGAATCATTCTGAATCATTCTGAAATAAAGACTATGCGACATTTGACACAAGGCTTGCGAGCTTACCTTACACTTCACTCGATTTTCAACTGGAATTGTTTAGTTTATTTTAATCTATTGTTATGTTATACGTTTTATTTTTTTTACTCCGTTTTTCTGTCTAACAGCACCCTCGTATTCAAGCAGCGTGTTTAGTTATCGCTGGTTTCTTGCCCTCGTCATCTCTGCCTGCTTTCAGGTAAATACAGTTACTGCAGTAAAGAAAAAACACTATACACGACCAACGAAGATAAAGACGATTAGACATCTACGGCGCGTTAACTTAACCGCGATTTGAGAAATATAAACTGAAACGTTTTGAAGACTACTCTCCAGTACAGTTGACATTGCCATGCCCGTTTGTAATTGTCATCTTTGTCCGGCAGTTCTTAAGAATAAAACCCCTCAAACGTTCTACAGGCTCAATGGCCGTTTTAACACTAGAGACGGATAATCCATCTTCAAAATCCGTCAAAATTGACGGAAAAAACAGATCGATAAAGTCAAGCGGATTGTCCATCCAAAATTAAGACCGTCCGCTTTTGAAATTAAGACGTATTATCTGTCTGACGCGAATTATCCGACGGATAACCCGTCTCAAACGGATAATCCGTCTCTAGTGTGAATATGGCCAATATTGGTGCAACTCGGAATGATTGTGTAATTGTGTTTCTAGTGCCAAATGCCTGTCATCTCTGTCCTCTCTGCCTGCTACCACTCCAAATACGGAGTACGGCCCCCTTCTGAATTGTCTGTGTGCCTGGGACAGAACCACCGATGTACTAGAGCTTATAAATGAGGGGATTGTAGATGGAATGAGTGGACCATCTAAAGATCCGAGAATGGTAAGCCGTGCTGAATAAACAGGACATTTAGCAATTATTAAATTCGGCTTTCGTAGGATGAGAAGAATTATGGAGATCTAGGAGGATTGTTTTTTACTGATGCTGAAGGCCGAGGTGGATAACATCCCCCGAGATCTGCATAATTCTTCATATCCTACGAAGGTTGAATACAATAATTGTTTTATTATTCAGTCAAAATGTTTCTAAGTTTCTGAGATTACCTCCTCGTAGACTTTCTTCAAACTTTGGCCTATTCCTCGGTACTGTTAAATGAATAAAATCCATCGTGCGATATGTCTAGCGTATTCTTGTATTTCTTTCGTTCAGTTTTAGTTAAAAATCAGCTATTTCGTCTTCGGGAGATCTGGGTACGAGATTACGGATAGCCGTTAACGCCATTTGTTTTAGTTCATTCGTGAATAAACCGCTTGGCGTCTTGGCGATGGTCTATTACCCTAGCAGCCTCGTTTCCAACTTTTCCAGTGAATTATGCCATGGATCAACCACGTTTCCAATCAAATATTCCTTCTAATCAATGGGATATTGCGCGCATCTTTCAGATATGGTAAGCGCCAGTTAGTTATGACCTTAATTATTCCGGATATCAAAAAACTTCATCCGATAATTAAAAAAAAAACTGTCTTTTTGATAAAATGAATAATTTATTTCGTACTACGCCATTTAGATCCGTTACCGCCGTGGCTGACGCGGAAAAAACACCTTAGCAAAGAACGACTTTTGTATGTTCATAGTGGGATAGAATTCATTGAGATTTTGTTGAATCCAGGTGGAAAGGACCGGAAGAAAGAAAAAATCAGTGGCCTTTCAACTCCCCATGGAGAATAAGCAAATGTTGGCTTTGGAATTTCTTTCTTGGCTGATGGTAAGACCAAAAATATACATCAAACTACTGCTAAAGAATTTCGAGCACTTCGTTTACTTTGATTTTTTTTGTCTGTAATTGGTTAAAATAATTGTTCATGTTGTTCTGTTCTTTATTTCTTCTTATTGCCAGGGTGAGCCTACATGCCGCACAGCAGTCCAGGGGCATCCTGAAATTCTACGGCAGATTACTGATAATTTGAGAATGACAATGGTAAGGTAATTCAGGCAGGTGTAGGGGTTGAGGGTGGTGGATAATGGAGGAAAGGAGTGAATGGAGTAATAGAGGGGTCTGAAAATGGTAGAAAGCATATTGTTATATAGCTGAACATTTTTCCTCAACAGCGCGCGCTCCTATTCGTTACTTAGGGGTCACATGACATCTAGCAATAAAACAGGTTCCCGCCAAAAGTTTTCAAGAAGAAAACATTTAAAATCTGTGACGTCAAAGGGTAAGCGCGAGTGTTGACTGCTGGCTGAGATTAACTTTCACGGATTTGTAGACGTAGAAGTTTCTGTTCTTACGCTTTTATAAAAATTTCATTTTGTTTTCTCTCGACTTGAATATCAATGGTTCCCTTCTTTCTCCTTCATTTACATGTTGATGTTTTCCTTTAGTCAACTATCGAGTCTCGTCTTTCACCGAGTCGGCCAACTCCTGAGCCTTTGACACAAAGTGAGGTGGAGTTCTTTCACAAGTCATTTGAAGCGTACTGTCTTACAGAGATCCATTTACACCACATGGTAAGCTTTGGCATTGGAGGCTAGAATTGTAAATAAATTGTAATTTGTTTATCCACGAAGCACTTAGGAGTTCTTAAGAACATCTGTGATAGTCTCCGTGCGTTCCAGATCGAATTCGAATTAGGAAGCGATGGTTTTTGAGGATTTTGTCTACAGTATTATTAAATTGTGCATGAGTGTTAAACGGTTTTGTGCCGAATTGCACCATTGGAATGTTTGCGGAAATGGCCTATAGGGGAATCCTCTTTTACCTTTTTTGCCTCATTATCATAGGCTTATCGTTATATATAATGAAGCTAATAAAATGAAATTTTTGTATTTTAAAAGAGCGTAACAATTTCAGTTATTTCTGAAATTTGAGCCCGATATGCCAAATAGTTTCGGATAAATTCTTTTTGAAAAACCCCAAAATTTACAAAGAATGTATGAGCTTATTAAGGTTCTGCACCCAGTAATTTTGCAGTTTTTAATTGCTGCTATTTTCTTTGTTACTGGTTGCAAAGAGCTGAAACTTGCACAAACGGCATAACTTAACCAGCTCTTTTAATTTTTGCACCTAATTGGTATATAAGGCCACATCTTCTATGGATTAACTCGTATGCTAATGAGCAAAAAATGTAAACAATGACGTCATGATGAATCCGCCTATTAAAGGAGCGAGTGTCCAAAACAGTCCCAGAGTGCATTTCGACTTATTCCAGACCAAGTCTTACGGGCAATGGGTCCTACTAATGTTCTGGCTCCTCGACAGGTCAAGTAGAGTTTAGATTGGGCTCCCATAAGCCGTCAATCAAATTAATACTTCGCAATGGATTGTTCTAGGAAAAGAACGAAGAGTATGGTGGCGCTATGGCTGCTTTGGAAAATGTCCTCGTCTGGGCTGACAGGGTTTTGCTACCAGCAATCAGCTCTGAAGGGTTTGTTTGTGTTTTTGTTTTATTTTGTTTTTTGTTTGTCTGTTTGTCTTTTGTGAGTTTATTTTCTATTGCATTGCATGACAAAAATCCAATGATCCTGGCACTTTTTCTGTACTGACCATCGAAAAGTTCCAGATCGTCCACAGAACGTTTAATCGTCGACTTTTTTCGAAGTGCATGCTTACATGGGGAATGTATGACGACAAAAATCAAACCACTCGCAAAGATAACCTTTTGGTGATCCTCATCAGTTCGCTCCTATCGTCCGACCGTAGCCTGCGTAGCAAGCGTTTCCGCGCGAGTTCGTCGAGAAACATGGGAAGAGAGCAAAAAAAATGATTTTTTTCGCTTCCGCTCTAACTTTCGCGCAATCACTCGATTGGAAACGCTTGCTACGCAGGCTAGTCCGACCGCTTCATGCTCTGTCGGGTAATTCATTAACTTTCATTTCATGGTACCCAGCTCCCAGCGGCTGTAAAATCGGAAAAATGGACGTATAGTAAAAAAGAAAACGGTCGAAGGACGAGCTTCTGATTTCGACTTCATGCATCTTTATTATTTTCACGGTGACATACGAGACTCGCGGAAATATAACACTTTTCGCGTGAAACAAGCCGTTCTATTTATAAATCTACTCGGGAAAGAGTCGACTCAAGAAATCAGTGGAGATAGCGGCTCCTAGTCGTAAGGCTCCTGCACTTTATCATTTATTTGAATACCTAAACGCCTTCTTTGTCGTTGGCTTAAGGTGTGAAAAATCGAGATGATAGAAGAAAATAAATAGGCAATAGATTTGCCAGATAACATAGGCTACAAAATGAACGATTCTAACACAATAAGATAAGATTGCACATTTCCACTAACATTTTGTCTGTCGTTTTCCCATTTTGTTTTTATTACTTAGGAATTGTCTCATCTCCCCTCTCTCAGAAGTTAAGAGTGCTAAACGAGTCCTTGAAGAAGTACATTACTCCAGTTCCCTTGTGGTGCAACTTGTAAAGGTATACTGGATTAACTAAACAAATTAAACACCAATATGCAAATTCAAATTCTCCACACTAGTGTCCATACATTGCGTTATAGAATTAGTTGAGAGAACTTGATAAAAGATCAAAGCATTTCTCTTTTGTTCATCATTTTGTTAATTCTCCTAACCTTTTCTATTGATGATGTTTTGATATAGTTAGGAGAAAATTGATGTTGATCACTCTTGGGACTTAAAGGGTTAACCAATGCCGATGCTCCATTGTATTTCGGAGAAGAACTTTTCAAAACAACACTTTCATTGGAGAGTTTTCTATCTGGCATAGCATTGTAAGATTGAGAGGATTAGAGAACAGAACTCTTCGATATTTTGCCGCAGTAAGTGCGATAAATTGATTTCTCACCCAAAACTGTTAAGTGATGATGCTTGCCACGGTTTTGGCGTTAAAACACACATAACTCTTTAATGGCATGATTAACTAAACGTCGCCCGCGTGACCAGCGTTCGGGGAATGGGGTAGGGAGGGTTATGTAAGCACGTTAAATCCGGAATGCCCCAACAATCGCGCTTGCATTAATCCCTTCCCTCTCCTCCCCTTTGTATACTGGCCGCGCAGACTAAGCTGTAAGAAATCGACCTTAAATGCAATGCGTCGTTGCGGCGACACGTTGCAGCTATTTACAACGTGGACAAACGAGTATCCTAAGAACGGTGTGTTAGTTGCTTTTTCATTTTTTCAGCAACACGTTTGTGCTTATGTTGAGTCGTATTTTTTTTTTCCCTAGACCATTTTGACTTGTTTAAGTGAGATGGTAATGCTTGGATTAACACAAGAAAAGTTTTACAACCACGCAGCGGTGTTCACAACTTCTCTTGCTAAACTAGGTGGGCTGTTTCACGTTAAGCTTTTTTCAAGCTTCCGTATAAAAAAGCATATTAAATTGCAATTAATATCCAAAAGCATTGATAGCAGGGCGAGGGCCTTAAAGCAGCAGTGTCCTATTTAGACAATATCCACATTATGGTCCGTACGTTCTTGAAAAGTTCTTGATTTTTAGTAATTGTCTTGAAAAGTTCTTGAATTGGGTTAAGGTCCTTGAAAACTACTTGATTGATTTTTTAGGTCTTCAAAAATCCTTGACCTTGTCTAAAAACATTTTTGTACACGAGCAGGGGGGGGGGGGGGGGGTTAGATTTGAATTCAGATTTGAAAGCTTAAAAAGCATTTCAGTTTTAATTCTTTTTGTCTACAAGTTGATGATTGGAAGCTCTAAAAATAACAGAGAAAATTATCCGAGAAAATGCTTTTGAACACAAGAAAAAGAAAGCAGGGTTAAATTTAACCCCGGGTTAAGCGCTAATCGGCCTTCGAACAACTGGGCCCAGTATCTTACTTCTGTTTCGTTATTCTGAATTCTGTTTCTGCACCTCAGATGCAATTGCAAGTCATACCCAGTCATTTTCCAACGCGTTGTTGCGGAAAGTAGTATAAAATAATGTGATCAAGCATGGCTGAAGAAGTAAAAATCGTAAATGACTCCATGACGTGCTTTAGCCAATAAGGTGTTCAAAAAGGGGTTAAAGAGTGCCGATTTATTGAATAAATCTTAGTCCTCGAAAACTGTAATTTGTCCTGGAAAAATCCTTGAAATTTGGGATCAATTTAGGTTTCTGGGAAACTGCCCACCTCCCCCTCCCCTAAGCCATCATTTTGCTCTAAGTGAGAAGTAGGTGTTTATGTTAGCTTAGGGGAGGGGTAAGTGGGTAGTTTCCCAGAAACCTAAATTGATCCGAAATTTGTTTGTCTGAAGTTGGAAGAACCATGCACACTATACCGGATAGACAGCAAGAGATCTGGGTACGAGATAACCTGTGCAGTAAACAGGTTTATCTGATGCGCCCTGTACTACTTGCAGAGCCGGACTCAGGTTTTATCGCTACGGCTAAAATGCGTGGTTATTTCTACATCAGTGATAGCAGCTTAGTTTACCTAAATGCTTAAAATAGTTATCTTGGCCCGTCTTGGAAAGCACTTCCCAGTTTAGTGTAATATTTGATATGTAATTAAGATACCTTGTTATTTTCTGTTGGTCTTTAAATTCTCCAAAACCTGAAATCGTTTGTCGCGGAATTTCAATTACTAGACCATGATATGAACGAAGAGATTTTTTTGTCTTTCACTCCTTATCCTTTAGAGTAATTTTTCTTAATCTGTGAAAAAGATAGACCTAGTATACAACTACGCTTTATCAGTATTTAATTTCATGGTTTTCTTTTGTTTACCTGTAATTATTTGGCACCTATTATTGGATATTGTTTCACAGGCTAAATAAAATCATTCTAAGTCAGAGACTAAACTCTGGTGTCAACTAATAATTAAGGGAATTTTTAACTCAACAGGTTGTAAAGCAGTAGAGTTTCTACCACAGCTTTCTAAGGTCTTGTATCAGATTGCACTGAGTGCAGTCCTGAGTAACGGTGAGTTAGATACCTCTAAAATATTGCATATATCTCATTCGCCTCAATTCTCAATGTGGTAATTACTGCACGTGAATTCACCTATAGGTCTTTGTTTATAAATTAACATCTATAGCGAACTTTTATTGTCTATAAAAAATTAAAGTCAAAAAGTTTTTTTGTTTGTTTGTTTTTTTGTTTGTTTTTTTAACTCCCTCCTGGAATCCCGGGCAGAAACGTTTCCATTCTAATGGGGGACATTTACTCCATTTGGTACTCCTGCACCTTGGGTCTACCAATCAGAACATGACGGTGTATTACAAATTTAACAAATGTCTCGAGTTATATTCGAGTATCTCCCACCTTACTACAAGATATTTATTTTTTTAATGATTGGCTTTGCTCCAGATGTAATCCTGTGCATACTTAACTATCAACACCCTTAAGCGAGGGTATGTCACTTACACCTCAGGCAATGTTCATACTATACTGAATAACTTTTCGAGCCGCCACGAAAAGCTATGCGCTATAGTATCAACACCTTTCCGATATGTGAATCTCCGCTTTAGAGATCGGCGCGGCGCAGCCTCGCTCCGTTTCAGAAATTGCGCTGAAATCACCGTTCTTACGTGTGAACAAAAGCCCCATTGGGTATGATTTTCGTGTCGGCGCAAAAGCTATCCTGTATAGGGCAGTCTCCAGGGGAAGCCCCTTACCCTTCTCCCCCCTTCCCTCCCCTTATTTGTGGACCAAACCCCCAAAAAATTTGACACCGCCCCCCCCCAATCCTCCTTATCTCAGGGTGTGGATGACCCCCCTCCCCCCCTCCCCCTTTATCTGAGGTCTGGATCCACCAATGTAGTGTGAACATGGGCGGCCTGAATCAACAACAAACAACGACAAAACTTTAATAAGCAGATTTTATAACAGAAGTACTGCCCACAGCTAGCAAGGCGATTTGAGGCGGAACATTGCGTGCAAAACAAAGAAATAGAGATTAATGCTGACTAAAGAAAATTTTACAATTGTTTCAAATAGAAATCGTAATAC